TGTATTTTTCATATTTTTATTTGTATTAAGGCACTTAAGACATACTCTTTTATAACTCTAGTAACATCAATAATACAAATATAAATTACAAATAAAAATTTCACCAAATCAATTTCATTATATTTTAAAATTACTTTCGATAATAAAGGTTGTCTCACTTTTTCTGAGCATTACTTTAGTTCTTTTTTTCGAATAAAGTACTTTGCACATTAGGTACTTCATTTTTGAATTTCAGCTTGAATTACAGGCCTAATTTTATAAATAAGTATTATTTCTAAATCGTATCATTTCGTTGTTATTTGTATGAGTTTTTTTTTATTTGCATTTCCAGTATCTTCGAAAATATCAAATATTTTCAAAAATAATAATAATAAGATGCATGCTCACCATCGTTCTAACATGAAAAAAAAACTTGCCTCTGCATTACTTACTTAATTCGTAAAAATAATTGTTCATAAAGACAGTAAATTATTAGTAAAACACTCAAATATCTACAATAATACCCATTGTTCAAAATACTTTGTTGAACACGAATACGTTTCTTAAAATTCTAATCAGCATTATCAAGGTTTTTAGTTATACACTGTCTCTGGTGGAAGCTTGCATTTGACAGTTTTGCATATCTTCTAAAAAAAACTTTAGTTTTTATAAATCTTCACAAAAAGTTAGATTTTGTTAAATCCGGAGATTCATCCAATTGGGGCGTCATTTACACGAAAAACGTAGATTTTCACTATTTTCGATTGGAAACAGTACTATTTTGTAACATCAGTTTTCTATGACAAACAGTAACAAAAAATATGAAAAACCTCGAATATCTTAATAAAATCCAAAGAAAATTAAATTTTACATCTACAATATGGTTCCATTTAAGAAAAAATCAATTATCCAAAACTTTTATTTTAACATACTGTATCATCTAAAAAAATGTTGAAAGCCCATAATTACAATTTATGTAGTTGGAATATGTTAAGTAATGTTTTATGCAATGCAGAAGATATACTTTGACATGCTTAAACAAATGGCGAAAACCGTATCTCCTTCTCATATTTAGTTTCGGAGATATTTGATATTTGCGATGATAGTGCACACGGTTTGTGCAAAAGTCAATTTTTAAAATAACATCAAATAACAACGAAGAGGAAATAATTTTAAAATATAGAGAAACTGATTTGGTGTGACTTATTTTATTTAAGATACTTTTTGTATTATTGATATTGCCAGAGATACGAAAGAGTTCGTCTTAATAAGTAAGACATCCTGTAGGTAAGTATTTCATCAACATACATTCATCGAATAACGATCATTTACCACGTCTGTAAATTGAATTTTTCAAATAAAATTTTTCTTTGTCATTTATTTTTGGAATTTTATTACCTAGCTTTGCTGTTGAGTACGACCCATAAATCTGGTCATATGGAAAGTGCCTGAAATAAAGCATGATGTCATCGAATGAAATAACAGTCCTTCAGATGTTACGAGCATAACATTTGCACTAACTGTTGAACTTGGCAAAACGTTCCGGAAGTATTTTTGGGGTTCTGGGATTTCAAATTTTATACTAGTTGAAGGAATTACAAATTAAACTACATGTAAAAAATATCAATGAATGGATGCGATACTTAACATCATTTGTTATAAAGACAGAAAACTCCTAAAGAAAATATTTAACTGGCAGCTTGACAATAGAACATGTAAAAGATACAAGGACAAAACTGTTTAGAATGTACTTACAGTCTATAACTTGTTAAAAATTTATTGTTCTGCCACGGTGGTAGTGGTATAGTTAATTACTAAATGTAAAAGCGAGATGTTTCCTCAAAAGTTAAATTCGTTAAAGTAATAAAAAAAACGAACCGAAAAAATGTAAGGGGCGATTCCCTGGTGAAAATTAATAGGGGTCTTTGGTATAAAATTTTTTGAAAAAACCCCTAAAAAGTTACGACCCTCCAAAAATTTCAAAAAAAAAAGTTTCATTTTTATCTTCCATGCATATCAAGCTAAGGAAACATCTGTCAAAAGAACTAGACTTTTTGAAATTTTTTCAACGCTGAAGTATGTTTGGAAGGGGCTGAAGTAATCAACCCCTATGACAGTTTTTCTTATATATTTTTTTTCAATAAAACTCCTTTTAAAAATTATATTTAACATATAATCTAAATGTATTGCAATGCATTTTTAAAAAGATAAGCTGTTTAACGCGAGTGTATTTTCCCGAAAAATCTAGTGGCCTGTTCTTTGCAATGGAATACAAAAATACTTCAGGGTTGAAAAAATTTCAAAAAGTACAATCGCCCCTTACATTTTTAGGTGTTATTTAGATATACCCTGTATACATAGATAGATATACGGGTGATTTCACTTTAAATACCTACAGAAACTGCAGAACTAGATTCATCACCAAAAAATAAGAAGAGTTTGCTCTATAAACTTTTTCCTGCTCGGTATTCGAGATACAGGGTGTTAACATTTACAAAAAAAAATATATGTATTTTTTCTGCCATCTCTTTATAATGCGCTGACGGAATTGAATGAAATTTAGTAGAGCGTATTCACTTAAATAGATCTTTTATTGAATGTATGTACTAACATGGTGGCTTTAACCAGTGGCGTGCTACTGGAGGTGCCACCCAACGTTTCCCAGAAAAAAATACGTCACTTATGTTACATTCAGGTACTGTTATGTTAAATGAATAAAAAATGTCTTTTGTTGTTTTTTAGTAGTAGCAGCCATTCAGGAAATATTTCGGGCTTGTTTTATCATTTTATTGTATTTTTTTAATAAATGAATCCGTTTATTTGATGAAAATCTTCTGGTTTTAACCAGTGACGTGCTACTAAAGCGTCCGTCAACTCTTCCCAAGAAAAAAATACGCCATTGGCGTTTTTTTGTAGAAATAATTTTATATCTGCAAAAAATATCAAAATAAATGATAAAATAACATTAGCAAATAGCTCTGGTAAGTAATTAAGTAACGAGTCCTACAACAATTGGTCGAAACGAAATATTTCCGCATCAATAGACTTCCGACATCTTCTAATCAGGCTATTTATAGAGGAACTTTTCAAGGTATGATTTTCCCTGAGGAGATTACAATTTTCCGCTATTCTTTGCAACAATTCGTCTCGTGTTCATAGTCCCAAGATGGACTGCAGCTTCAGGAATAATTAAAGCTACCGAGATATCCAGAATGATTGAAGCTTTTGGGGAACGCAGCCTGTTTCTAACACCATCTTTAGCATATAAAAACTAGTATTGACAAGAGACAGGCACAGGCTGCGATCTCCATACACTTCAATCATTCTGGATCTCTCTGTAGTTATAATACTAAAACGAGATTATCGTAAAGCTTACTATCTGATAATGCAGACAAAAGAAACAATTTTTGCAGATGGATTTTAAACAAATATGAGTATGTGGACGTTTGCGCATTATTGTCGGCAATAAGAAAATTACCTCCTAAATGGCTGCTACTATTAAAAAACACTTCATTTATTTAACGTTACAGGACTTGAATTTAACATTATTTATGCAAAAAACCACCAGTGGCATATTTTTTTCTTAAAAAAACGAAGCTTTACCTTCAGTAGCACGCCAGTGGTTAATGCCACGAGGTTAACATTCAATAAAAGGTCTAATTAAGTGAATACGCTGTAGTAAATTTCATTCAAATCGTTCAGTGCATTTTTATGAAGATATAATAGAAAATATAATTTTCTTTAGAAACTTAGACATCCTGTATCTCGAATACTACGTCCCCCAGGAAAAAAGTTTATAGAGCAAACTGTACTTATTTTTTGGCAACTAATCTGTTCCTGCAGTTTCTTTATTTAACGTGAAATCACCCTGTATAGTAGGGTGTTTCGTTTGAAGCGATCGTTTTCTGTTTTTGCATCATTGATGAAATATTGTTTTGAACATTAGAAAAAACTGTTCAATGTTCACCAAATTTCAGCTCTTAATTTCAATTTTAAGTATAATCGCTAATTGATTTTAAAAGTTTCCTGTTCATATAACACGTAAACTTCCGGTTTTTTAAAGTTATCTATATCACGTTATTTTATTGTCCATAGGCACTAATTGTAGGGGAATATTTGTTCTTTGAATCTGGCCCATTGTAGGATCTATGCGACTTGAACGGTTTCACTGATAAAAAATCTTAAAGTTAATTTTTATCGATTTTTGCATTTTTTTCATAAATGACTAAATAATAGAAAATTAAATTTGCTATAAAAAAGGTTCTCAGTATCTAACACAAGCTGCAGAGTTATTAGTTCACGAGATAAATAGAATCAAATGTGTGATAATTTTTAAAATATCCTTGTATTATTATCTTTATCGTATTGAAAATTTGATTGTAAATTGTTAAATAACTGTTCGTTATACTTGTACATTATATTAATTTATAATGATAAAATAGCTGACAAAATAGTTTTTAACATATTAACAATACAAAATAAAATTAAAAAATTAGAAAAATAATATAATACTTATATAAATGTTTTATGTAAATGTTTTGATAAATATTTATATAAATGTTTGGAGGGGTTTTATATAATTGACAATAGTAGAAAATTTAAATTTATTTTCCCCAGCAACGGTTTATTTTAGCGACATGCAACAAACATATCTTTTTATATTAAGTAAAGTATCTGAACTTTCTGAATATCTGTATCAACCAAAAAATAAGGTAAAAAACCGTTTCAGACCTTTATGCTTTAAATATTAAATAAGCCTATAAATATCATTGGTTATCCCAGAAACTTGCTTACACCTAATACCTAAATAGAATGAAATATAATATTTTTTTAAACTTGTAACTTTAATGAACGCAAAATTGTATTGAACTAAGGTAACTTGATCTAAATAGGTTTACTTTTATCTAAGGAAGCTGTCCTGTTTAATCCTTTAACATATATTTACAAGTAATTTACTGGGCACAATATGAACTGTTTTTTTTTATTACATCTACATTCTTTGTCATGCTTTCTGTTTACAGGTAACTTTTCACCAGTCAAAATGAGGTTCCTACTTCTGTCGATAGTATTAATTCTCTTGGTCAGCGACATTTCCTCTGAGAAAGTTGTGAGTATAATCTTATAATCTGTAAATTAAGAAATTTACTTTGTATCAAATGAAACTGTGTTATGCAGTAAAATTAACTTTTGATGAGATCTCAATATAAGAAAAGTACAGAACAAATCTGAAAGGACAGAGAATACTAAATAATTCCTTTATATTCCTTGTCTAAGCAGAAAGTTTATAATTACGAAAACTTAGGAAACTGGTTCTTATTACCGCCTTTAATTAAATCAATAATTATTAACTTTATGGATTTCAATAATCTTTTATCCATTATTTATATTGATCTAAGGGATTGGATATTTTTAGGCAAAAAAATATTTTGATTCTTAATAAAACATTTCTTAATACTCACTATAAAGTACTAAAAAGTAAAAGTATACTAAATTAAAGTACTAGAGTACTTTACTAAAGTAATAAAGTAAAGTACTAAAGTACTAAAGTAAAGTATACTAAATTGTAAAAATAAGTCTATTAAATTATTTTTTCAATTTCAGTCCATTTACATGCATTGGCACTAGTAGTAGAATATTAAATTATCTCTGGCTTAGATCAAGTAAACAGTATTCTAATAAGAATTAGTTAAGTGAACGATCAGACCAGTGACCAGTCAAAGTTGTTAATAGCTTTGTTCCTAGTGCATTAGAAACAGTTTCCAACAGTCCGACGCAATCGCATTTGATTCGAAACAATGAATTATGTAGGCATTACATCCATATGCGCATGCGTCTGACTGTTGGAAACTGTTTTGGATTCTACTAGGAACAAAGCTAATGTCTCGTTCTATTTCTATTGTACCACGTGATGGATCGCTTAGCCGATTAGTAGGATTTTGAATTACGACTGGTGGTCGGGTTATGCTGCGCATTGCCGCGCTTTTATCGCAGCGGTTTTCATTGTAACTTTTGTTAATTTGGCCATTTCTTCAACACTTTCCGTTTTACGAACTCTTCACGCTCAATGACAGTTGTTTAAACATTTTTTATAATCTCGTTAGCATGTAAATCAGATATGTGTTTTCTTCGATTTTTATTTCTGACTGTAGCTGTATCCTCTTTAGCTGTTCTTCACATTATTTGCCCATCCACAAACGCTACATATTTGAATAATGAAACCTATGTTCCTGGTTCACATGAACTATTGACATGACTATAGGTTTGCAAGAATTTCATCCGTTTATTATCCCATTGCAAATTGATTCCCAGAAAGAGATTCTTCCAAGTACAGCCTTGTTCTTGGTCTTGCCTGAGCAAAACACTCTTCTTGCATACATCGCAACAATTAAATTTTATTATGGGCGGTAACTCAACTCATGTCGACGCAGACAGTCAATCTCTAAAATCTACAGATAAAATTTACCTGCATATGCACTATTTTGGGACAGGTTTCTCTATGTGGGTTTGTGGGTGTAATATAAGACCTACACCACCAACACACACCGTTATGCTAATTAAGCATATTGTTTGAAGTGTGATATTATATTGCGAGAAAGACAAATTTTTTGCAACATATGGAAGCAGTAGTTAAAAAATATTAATTTGTATAAATTTTTTGTTTCCAGAACACTAACAATAATGAAACTAATTTATTACATTCTCGGGGTCTATTTAATCAACTTGAAGTTAATGAATTGAAGAATATGAACTATTATTTTAAAAGTTAAATTATGTTAGTACCTATTTAGATGTACAAGATCATCACTTACTTGTCTTTGAAGATATCGGAAAAGTATAAAATCTGTAATTAATTAATTTCGGTGGACGTTCATCATTTGCGTGAATTTTTCATTAAAATTGTTCTGCGTCTTTGCAAGCTTTTTTGCAGGATGCCAAATGTCCTTAATTTTACATGTTTGTATATTTTCTAAAATATACAAGACTTTTGCACAATCCGGCAAATGCATCCTGATTAAAACCGCCGGGTTCTCAACCTTGCGTAGATGACACTTTCAATTAACATAAAAAAATAAACAAACGCATAATAAAGAATTTTATCATAATACGTAATAACTACGTAGAATATTTTTGCATTCTCATTTAGTTTTTTATATTATGTACACCTTATTAATATTTACAATTTTAGTTGATCTCAACCCAAAAAACGTATATATATTTTTATTGTTTTATTTGTTGCTGTTTTATACAGAATAATATAGATAAGTTTTAAAACGGTGATGAAAAAATATTTTTTTGCAATTATGTTTTCTTTTATGGTTGATCCATACAACAAATAAAAATGTCATTAATATTTTGCCTGTGTCCTGAACTTTTAACTTCTGAAAATAAAAAAATAAAAATTGATAAACTTAATTGCAAATATTATCAATTTTTTTTATGGAACACCTGTTTATATTGCTTCTAGATGATATATAGTAGATAGCTGGGAAGTGGGAACTACATTAGAACGAATATTTTAATAGATATAACGGGCAATACTTTTTAGTACCTACTAATCGGTGAATTAGAAAATTGTTAAAAGTAATGATAATGATATTTATTCACAGTTACATCATGCAGTTGGTTAGCAATAAGCTTTCTTAATAAGTACCAGTGTCAAAAATTTAAAATTTATGTAACATAACCAACTGTCACAGATGGAAACACCTAATAAATAATATGCTCTTTTGAATACACAATTTCAATAAGTAACTCTCATCTAGCCAGTCATTTAATAGATAATGGATTGTGGCCATATATTAATTTGTAAACATATCGATTTTAAGTTCTTGTGTTTAAATTAGTTTACATGATCTCTTATTTTTTTATTAGAGGAAACATAAAAAGTATAGGAAGAGACCTGCAGCAGTTGTGGAAGAAATTGTTGAAAGTGAGGAAAATGTACCAGACACACCAGCACAAGTAGCTGACGATGTTATTGATAACAGAACACCATTAATAGGTAAATTATTAGTTATTTTCTTATATTTTGTGTTTCGGAAAATTCTCATTGACTGCCTCGGTTGACACCCAGGGTTAATAAACTTTATTTCGGCTTTAATATTAACTTGCAATATACTAATGAAGAACATTAATCTATTAAACTAGTGGACAGTATAATACATATAGTTTACAACTTTTAAGGGTGAAATATTTACAATATTACTACTGACACTAACAGTAACTGACTCGATCAATCATCAGTAGAGACATAATAGTTAGGTTGCCTAACTAGTAGGACTGTCTTTGCCGAACATTTTGATTAAATATGTTCTTTTGTAATTTCACTGATGTATTTAATATGTATGTATTTGAAAATAATAAAAAATATAAAAAATAATACATAATAAATTAGGTAGTATTTTATACAATGTTTCTACATCAAAATTTATACATACATAGATCTTTGGATATTTGTTAAAAAGAAATAAAAACCCACATCCTTGAAATAGTGCAATTTCCGACCAAGATATGTGTAAACTTTTTTTGCTTATCTTTGGGACAACTTGACATTTTCAAATATATTCAGTATCTAAACAATGCCACAACCCCTCTCATCCTTGGAAATATTTTTAATGAGAAAAAAGAAAAGACAACTTTATTCTTTATCCGTTTACTTTTAGATTCAAATATTTCCTTTAATGTTTTTAACTGTTTGGATATTTATCGAACCGTGCCACACTGGAAACAAAACAATTATTTAAAAGAATACAAATAAACTCTTTGACTGCAAAGATCAGTGAGGGGTTGTTTTTTAATTTCTTCTTTGTTAGAATTCTCTATGTGAGTTAAGAATCGTCTTCTAAAAAATGATTGGAACGATCCCATTTATTATTATTGAAAATTTATAAAAGGTATGCTGCGACGAATTTAAATCTAAAATAACAAATAAAATTAAGTTAACTACAATTGTTGGTTTGGAATAACATAAATATATTAAATGTATATTATATTAAAAAAAATAATAATAATACAAGTCCCAATTCAGTAATAAATATATTAATTTTTTTGTACTACTTTACTTTTTTTTGTGAAAGACGTCTGGCAGTATTTTCAGAAATATTGCAGCATATAGACTTATTGTAGTAGCCTCTAACAAGATCCATATACAGAATCTGTTGTAGCAGAATTCAGTCCATTGACTTACACCTTTATAGTCCTGGGTGCTGCAACTCTAAAATAAAATAATTTAAAATATTATTCTGGTCTACATTTCAACCAATCTAATATCTGATATTTTTTATAGATCCATGTTTTCAAGTTCATTGTGGTGCTGGCCGAATTTGTGAAGTAGACAGTAAAGGGGAATCTCAATGCGTTTGCATACCAAACTGTCCTGTTGAGACAGAGTCACGTCGAAAAGTTTGTTCCAACCACAATGAAACTTGGTCGTCTGATTGTGCTGTGTACCAACAACGTTGCTTATGTGACAAGGGAGACCCAGAATGCAAAGGAGAGCAATATAAGCATGTCCATATCGAATACTACGGAGAATGTAGAAACATGCCAGTAAGTTATTTAAAACAATTTGATATGTATGTGAATATGAAATGTCTAAAGTAAATCTCAGGAAATTTATTGTATCCTAAGAGATTATATTATTAGTTTCGACACTTTCATTTTAATTTTTGGTGTCCAAATTTTATTATGTTTTTATTAGCAATAATTACAATTAACTTTAATAATCATAATTTCACCTTCCTATCATCAGTACCACTCTTGCTGGTATTGGCTATATATGGGCTTCTCAAGTTAGCTCCTCGCCTGGATCTTAATATCATATATAGCTTCCAACTTTAAAACTTGGTATTGATAATTATACTAAAAACGAATTTCCTCTCACCCTATTGTTTATATACTCTCCATAGTCATCTGAAGAAAAGAAGCTTCATTGATACAAATCTTTTATTTTGACTAAAGAGAAAAGGCTTTGACATTACTGTGAATTGGCTTACAACATTATAACATAATATCATTTTACCTTAAAATAGCTATTCCTCTCCCCATACTAGTTCCAAAATTAAGACTAGTACATTTCTTTAGGGCAGAGTCACCCTTAGCATATTGTAAATCCACAGACAATATAGCTTATCACCATAGCAATTTTGTTTGTGGTAAATCTATTGCTATTTTAATCAAAGTATTTGAAATCTAATATATAAACTTTCTTAATGGCTTAACTATGTGCCTTCATGCTTATAATTTTACTTAAGGTCTTAAATTATTTTTATTTATATGGCTTTATGTTAACTATTGAATATGCTAGAAACCTTTATCAGAACTGAGACAGCTCATCTATTATCTAAAATCAACAAAATGTATGAACGACATCCAAATTTTGTTACGTTATATTCTTATTATTACCAACATCTTGCATATGTTGATAAATTATTTTGAAAATTGTGAGTTCTTAGGTCTGAAATTCATAATTATACTTGTAAGAGAAGGGAAAAATCGGGAGCTAGAGCTATGTGAATGAGTCGTTGTCAAAACTGTGGAGCCTAATTGGAAGGCTAAAGTTAAATGAAGAACTCCATGGAGGTCTATGGTACTAGATCTATGGTTTCTTGCTGTGTAAAACATATTTCCATACAGAGCCAGATTAACCTATGGTGAGGCCCAGGGCTACAAGCACTATATGCAGGTCCTCTTTCTAGAAACAAAAAAGGTCACGCAATCAGCAACTTGTCGATATGAAATTTCAAAACCTAAACACTTCAACAAAAATTCTTGTAGTGTATATGTTGCCAACACTAGAATGGAAGGATATAAATCAAGTTTAGTATTAACATTCTGAAATGGTTTTTGTCTTTCCAATTGAACAAATGAAAAGAGAAAGAGATATATCTAGACTATCTACATGATAATACCAAGATTGCCTATAAGTATAACTGAATAATTTATTTTGCTAGGAATGTACTAAAGAAGAAATGGCTGACTTTCCTCGCAGGATGCGTGATTGGCTCTTTAACATTATGAGAGATTTAGCTGACCGTCAGGAATTAACTCCTCATTACTTAACTATGGAACGTGAGGCCGAATCAAATATGACCCGCCGCTGGACTAATGCTGCTATTTGGAAATTCTGTGATTTGGATGGACATCCACCAGATAGGTTCGTATAAGCGCATATATTTTACAGAAAAATATTAATCTAATTTCTAATTATATTCGCACCACCCAGTGGCACTGATAATTTCTCACAAACACCCCTGTTTTATGCCACTGGGAAGAACTTTTAGTTGCAAGACTTTTTCAATTTACCGATTTGTTGAAAGATATTAACAGTTGAAAATATTGATTTTTAAACAATCAGTCATTTAAAAATCGGTAGGTAACTGGCTGGAAAATGTCACTTTTGTCATTTGACCGATAAATTTATCGATAACCTTTGTCCATTATTAGAAAATTTTAAAGTAACTCCATGCAAAACGTTACCTCTACTTTTGACTAATAATAATTATTGATGTCTATAAATAATGATTTTAATGGAAAAATTGAAATACATGGAAAAATTGATTTTAAATATTTTATGGTTATCGAATCTTAAAAAATCACATTTTGCAGAATAAATTAAATTAGTTAATATCTCTAAAGTACCTAGTTGAAATAATAAAAAGTACACTATTTTAACAATATCTTACAATTTAAAAAGTTGTTTCCAATTCCATCAAAACAGACGAGGCATGTACCTGAGAATTTTAGGAAAGTAGTTTTTAACTGTCAATATCTCTAAATTTGATGAAATTATAAAAAAATAAATTATAAAAAATGCTAATAAATAAAAAAAATTACAATTAAAAGTTTTTTATAGAGGCATTAAAAGAGGGGCATATTGCTGAGGAAAAAAAATTAACAGATCATCACCAGGCGATATGATAATTCAAATTTTATTATCTATTTGAAGCTAGAAACACTATAGAAATACAACAACGCTCTCAGAACTGAATTATCTTCGTTTGATTTCAAGAAAAACACATTTAGCAAGATAAATCAATCACACTGTATATATGTGTGTTATTTTTATTTGAATTTAGTTATGTAAAATAGTTTTATTTTTACCTCAAAGGTACCTATAACAGCTTAGTATAATTAAAAAAAAAACAGATTGTAACAGTCCACATGAGTATTTCAATCCAGAATTCAAAATTTCCCACAATAATTTCCTACAAAAAGTTTTCTGTGTAGGTTTCCTAAATCATAATCAATTAGATAAACTGAAGCTTTGCAATAGCACTGGTGCTGCGATTTAGCAGACGATGGTTAAACATTCTCTTATTAATTCGCAATTAGTTTTCAAGGTGCTTTGGGATTAATTAGCGAAATTTAAAATTTGAATTAGGGTGGTTAAATTAAACAAAGTTCTATTATTAGTGAATAGGTACAGGCACGTGAAGATACAGGTCATTCAAATTAAAAAAAAAATCACATTTTCTAAAATACATCGGAAGATAGAGTTACAATGAAATTTCCGCTATTGATCTATCCTCAAAACTATCTAATTAATGGTAAAAGCGATCCAGTTTTCAAAATTCCTATAGTAGCATTGTATTTTTGGGGTCTAAGTGATAGGGATTCCCAGTATATTTGTCACTATTTGATGTATTTGTACAATATCAGTTGTCAAATAAATAAACAATTCTGGACTGAATATTTTTTCCTCTAACCAATATTCAAAACTAGAAAAATCAGTTTTAAACATATAAATTAGAAACAGGGACATCAGACATCTTGGAAATTAAAACGTGAAATGTAGGCGACATATAACCTACAAAGTGTGATCTCTTAAAAGTCATTGCTACAGGCATAAATCATTATTTTGTACCTACTATCAGAGGGTGGCATACTAATTTGTAGGTATTGTAAAAGCAAGGTGAAACGAAGTTTTATCTAATGATATCGTAGAAAGCAATATATACCCAATCAGTATTGTATTACATTCGTAATATGTATAGAAAAGGGGGAATATCATTTGCCAGTAGAACCACCAGGCATAGACATATTATTCAAACTTATTAATTGTCATCTCACTTATGGCCTACTGGCTGTGGATTTAGTCCATTGAGAAGTTGTTTCCTGTGATATTTCATTCAATGTAACACTAGTCTTGCTTGCATAGTTTTTACAGATATGTAGGTTGCTTTCTGACAGTAACTATAAGTAATGTTTTGTGTTTAGTAGGTGCTGAATAAAAGTTAAGTATATACTGTATATTTAAAAGATGTTGCCCTTGCGTGAATGCTGCATTTGGGTACCTAGTTATATGTATGCTAAAATGTAGTATAAAAATAACGTGTAAAAATCATGTTCAGTCACAAAACAAATCAGGGTCAGTTAAGCACTATTATACTGTAACTGAATTCAGCACAGTTTTACTTTTATTTAGATCATTCATTCACCCAAGTACCATTACTTACTTAAAACTTTTACAGTGATCGTATTTTTTTTTAAACTGGCAGCAACATAGAAAAGGTCGGTTTATTTAAAAAAAAATATTGTCTCTTGGAAAAATCGCCTACAGAAGCCATTCTTGAGAAAAGTAGCATTATTCTGTACGCTTCGGTTTGCATAGCAGTGTCACGGATTTAAAACTTTGAGTTCAGTGACTCTCTGGTATTGTCATTATTGTCGTGTTTCTTTAGGATTCTCATCACTTCATACATGCAAGTTATGAAGTGTCCGCAGTGTATTAAGACAATTAATGAATTAAATGTATGTAAAACTAATGTTTATAAAACTTTAATAATCAACTTCTTCGACCATTTCATTTAACTTCTGCTCAAGAACTTGAAAATTGAGATCCCAATGCACATTTACAATTTAGCCGCTGGTTGGTGAAAGGCTTCACAGAAGATAATAATTTGCTTCAAAAATTGGTTTGTACCGATGAATTTTGTTATACTAGGAACAGAGTTGTAAATTTTCATAATTTGAGTGATGAGAGTCCTAAAGAAACACGACAATAATGACAGTACCTGATAAGCACAGCAATCAACATCTTGTTTCCATCGCCTACTGAACTCAAAGTTTTAAATCCGAGACACTGCTACGTAAACCGAAACATACAGACCTGCAAATAATAACATTTTTCTCAAGAATGGCTTTCTGTAGGCGATTTTCTCAAGAGACAATATATTTTTTAAATAAAACGACTTTTCAATGTTGCTGCCCATTTTAAAAAAATACAACCACTGTAAAAGTTTTGACCGCTAAAGAGAAGGAGAGGTAACCGGAGAAAACTATCACCCAATATATCGATTTGACTAAAGCTTTAACAAATAATATGCCATAATAGTCCAAAAAAAGTGCGCCAAATTTTAACGCAATCAGTAAAAGGGTTATGAAGTTATTAATTAAATTAGTTTTATGTTTGACAACTTTGAAGGCCTGTAACTCAAAAACCAAAAAATTTTTATGTAACTTTTCTTTCATAGATCGTAATTATTTATCGTCGTGAATATGCACTCAAACGTTGTCGGTGAAATTTGCGGACACCCTGTTTATACTCTGTATATTGAAAATGAATCATTCCAGGACATTCCTTAATAGTACTTTTTGTCTTATTTCGACAGCTCAAATTCAGATTCTAAATTTGATAAATTAATCCTGAAACATTGTGTATATGCTATATGGTTTTATTAATTTATTGTTTTCTCATGTTTTTCAGATCAGTATCTCGACATGAACTTTTCCCCATCCGTGCGCCCTTAATGTCTTTGGAACACTGCATCGCACCTTTCTTGAATTCTTGTGACAGTGATAATAATCACAGAATTACCCTTAAGGAGTGGGCCAAATGTTTAGAATTGGAAGAGGTATATTTTGATTTTTAAATATGTAAATATTCACTACTACTGTCTATAATTTTTTTAGGATGAAATTGAAGACAAGTGTGAAGAAATTATTGATGAGGAATAATACTAAATTGTACATTAATCTGTTAGATTTAGGAAATGCCAACATAACTTTAACATACTCAATCTTTGTTGCAGAATGAAATGGTGCTATTTAGTTAAAAAATATATTTTTTGAAAATATTTTTATATTATGTTGAAATTGTAGTTTTATATTTCTTTTATATTTCATTATTGAAATTATAACACTGCCAGTGATACTTACATAAAAGTGTAATTTTTGTATTATATTATTTAGCTTAATGTTTATATAGGTATATAACCAATTAAATAAAAATGAAAAAAACATATTTTATTCAACTCGATACATTCATTTATATCACGTCGTATAGGGACGTATATTCCTAAGGGCCTAGGGGGTGATTGCCCGGGCCGCCTCTCTGGGTTTTTTGATGACATTTTACATTTACTAACAGGTACTGGGGCGGCCAACCATATTTGCCCAGGGCGCATAATTTAGAAATACGTCCCTGACACCATATATGTGTCGGCTGAAAGATTTTGATATATTGAAGTAAAAAGTTGAACACTGCATTTGACCTTTTGAATTTTTTTATAACAATGCATCTGCTCTATGTACATTAATACCTACAACACCACAAGGAAGATGAGGATGACCAAGTCAAGATGAGCTGGGGGCCGTTCTACTCCAAGTCTTCGGAGTATACAGTGTCCTATGTATATGTGGAAAAGCATACATTGGACACATCCTTAGAAGGTTAGAGGAGTACGAGTGTCACCTGAAGAATAAAAATGTAGAAAAATGGGCAGTTGCAGAACACAGACCAGATACAGGACATGGGATGAACATAACTACAACGAGTAATCTAATCAGAGAGAGAGATTTTGACCTAGGCTCTACAGAGAGGCAATCCAGAAGAATCGAGATGATTTCAATCGGGACGAAGGACCCTGTAACTAAAATATGATCCATCTGCAAAAATCAAAGATAAACAAAATGAGCCATAATAACTACCAATCATGCAGAGAACACCATCGACCAGCACAGCCAGCAGATAGAAATACTGTTCAGAGGACTTAATCTCCAGTTTCTGTATTTTATATTTTTTATATGGTCCAGCAATAGTTTTCGTTTGTAAGTTATAAGGTTTCTATTACATCAAATCAACATAATTCAGTGGATTGAATTAATTATCGAACACAGAGTGTACAGGAACGTCTCTATATAAATGTCTCTATTTTCTTTTTCATTATATTTTTACATAAAAAAACGTTACTAGACAGATAAAATGCTCCATTGCGATTGATGAAAATTAAAATATTGCGCTAATAAAGCAAAGAACTCGAACCATTTTTTAGGGGATGATTTCTAGGCCAACATGTAGAACTTTTGTGGTGAAAAAATTTCAAATGAAATTTGCAAAATAAAAAATTATAATAATAGATCTGGCAAATTTTGAGATCTTGAAAATAGTTCCTTTTATATCTGTCAAATATATTGTTTTTATCATGACTTTTTAATTTATTAAATATTAGTTGGTTTAACTGGAAAAGAATGTTTTATATTTAGTTATAAATTTAGTAAAAAAAGTGAAGTTTAATTGAATCTCTGGTTTCAAAAACTACAAGTAATTTTTTTGTATTTTGACATGTTTAAACAAGTTTGAATAATTTGTTTCATACATTTGCAAAAACATCACAAATGTTTTTAGAGGACGTTGCTACTATACGCATGTAAGTATGAATTTATATTGCATTTTACGTATTTCATGAAGGCATGGCAAACAAAGGTTCTAATGAAATCTGTTCCACGTTTATTACATGTAGAAATATATTTATTCTCTGGGCAAATAAAAAATCACACCGTGACATTTTCATTGTTATTAACAAACAGGTGTAATTTTTCAAGAATATACATTAATTTTCAGTTCGTGATCTTTCTTCTGTGTCAAACGTTCAAGATTTTATTGTAATTAAGAGAAGTATAAGAAGAGACTATCATATTTATGTTCTAGATCAGTATTAATATATAATCTCCAATGTTAACCTATTTTTTTATGTATTTTTTTTTTCAGATTGGATTTGTTCTATACATTTTATTTATTACGAAAGGCAACAAATCATTTCACCTTACCATAAGCAGAAAAAGGATATTCTAATAACTATATTCTTATTATAAATCCTAATAAAGTGCAAAGTAGTCAACAAGTTCGGAAAAGTAGGTATTCTTGACAAGAATAATAATTTTATGAAGATCTTACATTGTCCAATAATCAAAACGATGTTGAAACATCAGAAAAAGTTAAAGATGACAATAAATATGATTACATTCTCTATTTTTTAAAAATGATTTTTCTATTAACATTGTACAATAATTATTATTAATTAGAACGTTCTAATAAAAATTTGTCTCATTTACGTTAACTTTATGTTTTATTTTAAATTTTATTGTATTTCTATTAAAAGTAAACTGGGAGTTAACTTCCATTTTTAATCCTTGCAAAAACTGCAAATCAAAATTAATCAAATATTATTTTACAAAAATTTTTTTGACAAACCTATTAAATCAATAATTATTGTTAGAATCATGTTTTCTATTTGTACTTTAAATAATATAAAAATATATTTAAATAAAATTATTCCATTATCTAGTTTTTTGTTTCCCCTGTAAAAATTTGTGCTTTACACAGTTTTTAAAACGAGTGATTTAGTTAAACCACAATATCCCCACAAATACTCAAAACTTTTTAACAATTACACTAAAGGGAATGGAATTCATTTTTTTCAGGACTACGTACTTAATCCCAGATCAATGCATGTTTACATCCAATTTTTTTTTATGTAAAAATATTTTCCTGTTAACAAAACCAATAAAAGTTAATGAAATATTTTTTGTTTGCCCTTGAACAAAAGTTTATATGTGCAGAAGTGGTCTGCCCACATCACAAAGTATTGTCGTAACGAGCCAATTTTTAAGAAACCACGTATCTATTTATGTATTATATATGCTTAAATAATTAATAAAGTTAGGACAGCCTAGTTATTTCTGTAGTTACCCCAAACCCATCCCTGCATAAACTCACAAAGTTTCAGTAAAATAATTAAATATCTTAAAACTGATGATTATACATGACCACAAAAAATTTAAAAGTTTTTGAAGGCTCGTGTAATAAACATATTGGTTTATTTTCATGCACCCAAGGAAGTATTTGAGTACACTTTTTAGCTGGATATGGTCCATTCCTTACATTCTATTATAAGTACGCAAAATTTGAATCAAATCAAATTATCTGTAAAAATGCCAATTTCCTACAAACAAATAACTAATCCTTTGTAATAATTTTTTATTGTATGCTTATAAGTGAAAGAATTTTAATACAATAATAAAAAAGCTTTCAGCATACACTTTTCAAAATATGAAACGCAATGTAATATTTTAAATTTTTGAAATTACAGCAATCAAGAAAAAAAAAATCGAAAAAATTATTGTTACAGCGCTAAGTGGAAGTAGAAATTTTGTACTTTACGAAATAATATAGGTTAGAAGGTGGTACTTCAATGCTAAATGTTTTACCCATGTGATGTAAGAGTAAATATTAAAGGTTTTCCGCAAGGACGCAAATAAAATACATACCTAGATTATTTAAGCAGGTACATATCTATCAACGTAAGTATATTTTTTTCCTGGCAAAAATATTTATAAAATGTTTATAATTTTGTTAAATGTGTGATCAATATTAGTTTTTAAATGATTCTAATTAAATTAGGTGTAACAAAGAAAATAAAATCGACCTATTTCTATTCTAGGTATTTCTTTTTCCCTCCAAATCTTTAATTTTTCGAGGTCAACCAAGCCGAGCAAGCGTCATTTCACTAACCATCCAATCAATAGTCAAGTCACTTCCCGCTGCAGAGTTTGTTTCTTATTGGCTTTCCTGAGCCACGTGATAATATTGTCATTTTATATTGGTGGAAAATTATCATTTGGCGCGTTTACGTTCGGCAACCGTTTTATTCGTGATTTGTCGTTTGCAAGCTTTGGTAGCGTTGTATTAACATTGTTAAACAATGGTAAGTTTGTCTGCAAAATTTGTTATTAACAATGTAATATTGTTGGAAAATATTAGGAGGAAAGGATAATCAAACATTGGAACCAAATTTTGTGAGTATTGCCATAAGCCAATTGTATGTATTTTGCTGTTTTAGGCAGGCGGTAAAGCTGGTAAAGATAGCGGAAAAGCCAAAGCCAAGGCGGTATCTCGGTCGGCGCGTGCTGGATTACAGGTATGTGTATTATAATAATAAAAGCACAAGTTCTTAAATGCTTTGTCGACATTTTTCGTGCATTGATGACAATATTTTTGTACGAATATTTTTGTAACAGAATTTTAGGTTAGAATATCTCTAATGTTTACTCTTCTTCTAGTTTCCTGTTGGAAGAATCCATAGACACTTGAAAAATCGGACAACGAGTCACGGCAGAGTTGGGGCAACTGCAGCAGTTTATTCAGCAGCTATTTTAGAATACTTAACAGCTGAAGTATGTTTATAAATGAGATATAGTTATTTTTTAAACATATTCTTTTACTTAGGTGCTAGAATTAGCTGGTAACGCAAGTAAGGATTTAAAAGTAAAAAGAATAACACCACGTCATTTACAACTTGCAATAAGAGGAGATGAAGAGCTCGACAGCTTAATTAAAGCCACAATTGCCGGTGGAGGAGTAATTCCACATATTCACAAATCCTTGATTGGAAAGAAGGGAGCACATTCACAGCCAGCTTAAAGCTAACTTAACACCTAGTTACATTTTATACAAAGACTTGTACCATGTGTCGATAATGTGTTTTAATATTGTTCGGCACATACTCACTGTATGCAAGGCAGTGCAGTATGTTAAATATTAAAAGAATTATTTGTCGTTTTAAAATTGACTCAACTTTACTACTGTGGGTATCGCAGACGTTTATTTGTCTTTGAAATTGTACTGATAATTTGTTTGAACGTGCCTTGTCCTTTAATATTTTTCTCAGTTGTAATTAGGTATAGATCTAATGTGTATTTTAGCATGTAGTTGTTCATTTTTACATTTACATAAATGTAATTTGTGTTCATTTCATATAAATAAATAATTTTCTTATATTTCACATACGAATTTTATTTGAACCTAAGCTGTAATTGATTAAATATTTTCATTGAGTTGTGCAATATTATGCAATATATCTAACAAGTCTTGTATCAATTTTTAACAAAAAAGTTAATTGAAAGTTTGGAAAATGGATAAATTTGGGTTAAATTTTGTCGCTAAAAGCGATTTCTATGATTTTGGACATTTGACAGCTGACGAACGAACTACAACTTATATTTTGAATTTTGAAAATAACTAACGTCGACTACTGTTTGTGTATTCCAGTCAGTCTAATGAAAAGCTTTTATTAACTTTGCTTCACTTATATATTATATATTTTTATACTCTTTTGAACTTATTCAAACAGTTATCTACGTGCGATTTAAAGAGTGACAAATGTTTTAGTGTTTTGTGGTGTTTTAGGTTATATATAATAAAGTCAACATGGAATTTTATAATGGAAACAGTTATATTTTAAGAACTGAAGTAATTGTGCCTCCAACTTATCTAAAGGAACTTTTTGTTGATGAAGATAGTATAATCTTGGCTTATGATAAGGTAAGATTTTCTATATCATTTAATTTCAATTATAAATTACAAACAGTCTTACACTTAGAAGTGTTCGAAACACTACATAGTAATAATTATTATAGTAATTTTAATATACAGCATGTAAAGTAACACAGACCAGTACTTTCTTAATTTTATTAGAGAGACGTTCCTGATGAAAATGGAGTAAGTTCTCCCGTTGACAATATTAAACAAGAAATTGCTAACAATACTACAAGCGATTTAACTGGTGATCCTTTGAAAGTGGATTTAGATGGAGACGAATCTTTTGGATCTTATGTTCATTCGGAAAAACCAAATCATTGGAGTGCTGAGGAATCTCATCACTTTCCATTAAGTCTTAAAATAGCCAGGTAGAATATATAACTTACTCCTATCATTATACCAAATTTGTTAATGATTTTATTTTTAATTTGTGTGTTATTAGTTTTTTCTACTTTACTGTTAGTACATTTTGTGTTATGTTTGCTCTTTCATTTTCATTAGCAGGGCGACAAGAAATAGGTAGTGGTTAATTAGGAAATACAAGAATTTTATCAGGCCGTGCATTGTTCCAATAAAATATTAAAAAGTTAACTTTTGCAAGACATATCTATTCAGGTGTCAAAACAAATGTTTTATATACAGGGTCGCTGATATGTATGGAAACCGTCGATTATCTCCTGAAGTAAAATAGCTATCGAAAAGTCATAAAATACAAATGTTTTAAGGTTTTTTAAAATCTATTACAATCAAGAAAAATTAAGTATACAGGGTCAGTCAAAAAGTCATGATGAAACAAAGTTGCTTTTTCTTTAATGGGACACCCTTTATATTATTCCATATTTCAATTCTTCTCGAAATTCTAACCCAAATTCATGTAGCACATCATGAACCTAAACTTAACCGTTTTTGAGATATTCAACTTTGAAAATCATAATCTTATAAATTATACAAAAATATTTGTCCATTAAGTTTGCAGTCCATCCAGTTACCTTTGAAAGTTTCTAGCTTCATAACAATTAGTGATGGGAGATTTCGAGTGAAAAATCGAGTGGTACTCAATTATTGAGATCACTCGAGATATCTCGAGGTTGCACCCCAAAATGTTAGTGCATACTGCAAATAGTCACTGATTGCGTAACCTTTTTTTTAGAATAAAACGAAAAAGTGGTTAGGTTTAGAAGTGCGTTAGCTTTTTTTTTTTTTTAGCTACGCTTATAAGTAATATATGACTAATACAAACATATTTGTGCGCCGCTGGGATGAAAACGACCAATATTTCGTATCTCGAGTGATCACTCGATTATTAGAAGTACTCGATTACCGATAACTCGATTATCAAAATTGGTCGATTATGCCCATCACTAATAACAATACCACGTCGTTTTTTTGTCTAAGAGTGATTATCTTGACAACAAATGTCAAAAATACATTTAGTGTGAATAATTTTCTCGCAAAAATGGCACGTTTCAGTGAAACTGAGCGAATTGAAGTTTTAATGATTATTGGATATGCTGGTAGAAGACGAAGTAGGATATTTTTCTTGAATTCTTGATTGTACAAGATGTTCCATTAAATAAAAAGCAACTTTGTATTGTAATGACTGATGCTGTATGCTTATTTTTTTTTATTTTAATGGATTTTAAAAAACTGAAACGTTTGTGTCATATGATTTTTCAATAGCTATCTTACTTTAGGATATAATCGACCATTTCCATACATATCAGCGACCCTGTATGTATAACGTCTTTCACATCCAGTACATAAAAGATTTTTATATTCTACAAATGTTTTTTAAAGACAAAGCCAGAATTAACAATTTGTGACAGGTTTTCTATTATGTTTATCGACTTATCAGTTTTAACAACTAGTTAACAGTGTAAGCATCGTTTCACACTTGCCGGACCGGCTAGCTGGATCCGGCTATCCGGATCCGACTGACTCTTTCACACATAATTTAATTTTCAAACCGGTTTGGCCAATATTAGTCTCGGTTGCATTTTTATCACGACAAGAGATGGATCGTAGACACATTGCAATTATGTGGCTTGGCTATTGCCGATGTCATTACAATAAAAAAAAAAAAAACAAAAAATATGAAAAGGCTAAAGTTTTGTTCCACTGGGCAGGTCTGGTTTCAATCAGTGATATAAAGAATGTAATCTCTAACATTCGACATAATTGCGTACAAATATTTAAAAAAATAATTGACACGTCCTGTTCTTTTCAATCAAACCGGATGCCTGAACCCGGCAAACACCCAGTAAGTGTGAAAGCGTCAATACAAAATTACGCACTACTACCACTTCGGTTGCCGGTTAGCAGGTACACGGCAGCCGGGCTGGCAGTGGTGGCGACCGGCTACAACCCAGCGGCTGTTCGCTGGATAGCTCCTTCCGTCACGTGTGAAAGCTGCCATAAGACTCTGTACACCTTGCTGCCGGGTAACCGGATCCGGTTAGCCGGTTCCGGCATGTGTGCAACGGGTGTCAGTGTGTTGTTCTTTAACAACATTTAAATTTAAAGTTCCAACAGAAATTTTGCAAATGTTTTACCTGTATTGATATTAATAAATCGTACTTACTGTCAAATGTTTGATACACGCCAGCGAAATGCTTTTGCATTCTCTAATGCAAAAAAGTGATTTTGCAATCTAGAATAAAAAATTACATTAACTTTAAGTAGTTCAAATTGTTTATTATGGAACTGTGCCTGACAGGTGTACTCTTTTGTATCGTAGAGAATTTTTAAATCGACAGAATTGTCTTAAGAAGTGCGAGGAAGAGAATCAAAAACCAATATATGTTGTATGTGATGGAAAAAATGTTTTACATACAGTCTTGATAGGGTCACAGAAATGCAATAAATTTATAATGACAACTTTAGTCAATGTAGTTGGATGCTATTCAAAGGACCATGAAGTAACATCTTTAGAAGCTATGGAAATCGATCATGTTAAAAATACTAGGATTAAAAATCCCAAAGTAAGTTTTTGTTTGAACATAATTGAAATATATTTCGGTAGGCCCAGTGCATTTAAAAAGAGAGTAATTTTTCAGTACCTATTTATATCCAGTGGCTAAATGAGCATATTTTAAATCTCTAACTAAATCTCTTCTAACATGTGCTTCTTATTTCGTATAGTAACTGAGTAATCTGAGAGAAATCGCTTTAGGTGGTATCATCTTTCTATTAATACACTCGAAACAGAAATTTGCGTTTTTCTCAAAGAAAAAATATTATTTTTAAGTTTACAGATTTATTGTTTTATTAAAAAAATAGAATCGTGTGAAATTCAGTGAAAAAACTGTCAATGTCCAAATGAAGCTTGTTTCTGTTTGAATATACTGATAGGATGATAGATCCAAGGGGTGATCTACTAGCCAGAATCAGTGTACGTTTTGACGAAAACAAGATTACATTGGATAAGCTGGAATATAATGGAATATATCCCGAAATAAACCAAAATACTAGTGGAATACATGGGAAAAAGATGAAACATAGACGCAATAATATGAAAAACTTTTATTTCAGTGTTTATAGAATACATTGGAATGATGAATGATGAAATATCTTGAATATTGTGGAATAACTAGAATCACATGAAGGCTTGCAAAAAATGTAATAAAATTTCTAGGGTCGTATTTAAAAGAATGACGTTGATAATGGTCCTGGAAAGACGAAACGTTACATATAAAAATTGATTGTGCCATTCGATACAGGGCAAAAAGTGGCCATGAGAAAATGTTCTTCTTTTTTCAATATCACCTCAAACAAGGCTGAAATGAAACAAAAACGGATTTCCAAAATTTCGGTTTTTTTCAAATATTTCGAAAACTAATCATGTTAGCCTTGATATTTTAGAGGCATAATGTTGGTCCCCTGATTACGCAACTTTGCCCCCATTTAAGCTACTTTGTAGCTCTTACCGTTTCCGAGATCCTGTAGTGAGAAGCGAATTTGTAACAGCCTGTATATAGAATGGAATACATTAGAATAAGTAGTAATAAGCCGGAATAAACGGGAATAAGTTGGAATAAACCGGAATAAATCAGAATAAATAGGAATAAAGCAGAAATAAATGATAATATTCCAATAAACCGTAATCAGTGTATGTTTTGAGAGCTAGTGGATCACCCCTCGGACAGATCTCTCAGATGATTACAAAATAACTCGACATAAATTTCAATGGGTTACATTTTTGTGGTATAGAGTTATAATTTTTCTAGGTGGATTATTTAGTGAAATTCAAATATTTTTTGTATGGAAGTGTGCTGCAGACTTTTAAGAATGTTAACCAATCCGAATATCATGGAAATGTATCGGTTGAAGTTACCTGTAATAGATGCGTATTTAATGTTCCGCAGAGTCCTTCTAATATGAAAATGGTGAGACGTGAGACAAATGATTAACAGTAATATGTATTATAATAGCTTATTAAAATGTTCCATCTTTTGGCAGTTAAATTTACATCAGCTATAAGTTATAAACAGGGTGGTGCACAACATGTTCTATAGTCTATAGAGGGCAATTTAAACGTCACATACTTGTTTACTCTCTCAAATATTTTCGAATTCTTAGTTTTTTTTTTTGATGTTTTATATCTCAGACAAAAGTTGTAAGATAATTTGTTTATATAAAAAATATTAAATTTTTGTTAGGAAAATGCTCCTTTAGCCTGGAACCACACGTATGTGTGATCCCGGATCCTTTGTAACTACGTGACATCCAATGAATTGTGCATCAGTAAAGCCATTTGACACTCTGTCAAGGTCAAAACGGACTGGATGTTGATGGTATTTACAACGGATCCGTGATCACGCATGCATGTGGATCCAGGCTCAGTTTTCATAGGAATGACAAAAAAAATTCCAGTGGCATGCCATCATTTTTGTGAAAGATATAATCAGTGTACTTTATTTCTAGGCCACTGGTTTGGGTTCAGTACTTAATTTTTTCATGTTAGATGCCGTATTATTCATGTATACATACAACATCTCGTTTCAATATCTTCATTTGATCAGAAGATATTTTCAGATATACATTTTTTTGAAAACACTCAATTTATCTGGTTAAGGAGGCATCAAAGCTTTTTGCGTATCCATTCTACACAACCGTATATACTAGACCATAGATTAAACAAAGATACTAGCCTGGCAGATGGTGGACTGGCCTACGTGTAAACTTCAATTGAATTTATATTGGATTGCCTTCAACTTTATCATTGGATTGGCTTAGTGGAATGTCTTCATAACTGGCCTTGTGTAAATGGGCCATAATGCAAGAGTAACATTCAAGATTATAATAAAATTATGACATGTCATATATGGGGTTGAGTAACATTATCTTCTTTAATAATGATATTTAATTTAATACAGCAAGTTCCATACAGAACTATTGTGATTCTGAAAGTCTTGGTGATGTTTATATTTCCAGTACTTCTAAATCTGTTAAGTTTCTTGGCATTTATTTTGGAGAAAATCTGGATTCTTCCAATTTGATTTCAAAGTTGAATTCTTTGCTGTTTATGTTCAGAAATTTAAAGTCTTTTTGTCAAAAGAGGATAATTAGATGTATAACTGGTGTCACTAATGGTTGTTTAAAAAATTTAAAAATAAAAAAATAAAAAATAAAGTACCATGTTTATACTTATTTGAAGTTAGTATTTATATTTTTAATACTAGGATAATTATCAAAGAAATGGGGGTTATATTTATGTTTCCTTTGTACGTTTAAATATTACTTATAAATCGTATTCTTACTTAAGTTCTAGAATCGTTAATAATAATACACTAGCGTGTTATAGAGGCCGTTAATTTGAAAAACTTAAAAGTTGTTTTCTGTTATCAGAAACTTACAATTATTTACACTTTTACTGTCCCGTAGTCTAGACTTATTATTTTTGTGTGTAGTTATTTTAATAGGTTTTGACCTACTGAATGAATGATCTACATAAATAAAGCATTACCGGACCAATACTATATAATTTGAAAAGTTATTAAAAGCAGTGTTTGAAAAAAGCAATACATGGATGTATCATTTAAAATAATCTTGGAAAAAAATTTACACAATTATCATCCTGAATAGTAATGAGGGATATTGGTTTGAATTGATTTTTATTACAATTCTATAACCTAGTAATTCCTAGCCCTTCATTGCGACCTTGTTCTGTATTGTGGCTCACACCTTTTGTAATTCATCCAATACGTTTAACTTTCTAATAAAACCAGTGAATTTGTGAGCAATGTTTTTGTCTACACTTTAGTCTAGTACTTTTGTCAAATATACAGAACTTGACCCGTTTCCTAGAGGATCAGGTACATAATATGTGTTCTGCCATTTCCTTACGCTCTGAGCACAACGGGTACTTAATTTCTTTGATCTAGCCCAGTTTGAGTACCTACATATCTTAATAAGTCGAGAGTTAGAAAATTTGCCATCTCATGGCTCAGAAGACTTGAGATCGACTGTTCAGATCAGAGTCAGTTTGTTATTTTTTGCTCGAGCTGGTAGTCCCATACACATCTTTAGTTATGACGGAAATATCTTTCTGCTTTGAGAGCTGCTTGGCTGTCTAAAAATTTTTATTGCCTCCATACAAACAATTCGATGTCATGGATTTCTGCCTGAAAGATAGTACAGGTACTAACGCTTACTGACATCCTGATTTTCAAATTACAACTGTACATTTTGACTTCAACATACCCTCCAGCAGTATGTTGAGGTACACTTTATTAATCTTCTGATATTATTTTCCAGTTTTTTTGGTATTTAGTGTTCACATGGATTATGACAAATTGAAGCCATTTACAAAAAAAAACTGATTTTTTAAATGTGCAGCATATGCCTATGGAATTTTTTTATTTTTACAAATATTTAATAGTTTTCAGTAGACATAGGTTAAGGCGCCACACTGTACCAGATAACGATTTTTTAAAAATCTTTTTAAGATATCACTATATGCATATATTGGAAATATTATATGTATTACATACTTTCAGCTTTCTTTTTCAATAAATGTTTTTTTAGATTTTACAAATTATAGCTGGACATAATCTTTCTTCAGTGTACTTCTTGTGGGAGGAATTAACCTTACTACAAACGTATTTAGATATTTTATCCGACTCTGATAAATGTAATGATGAAATCACCATTATATCGAATAACCCCCTTCAAGAGTCAGATATTTATAAAAGTATTAATAATATCATAGCTACAAATTTGCTTAAGCGGGAAGCTAAAATGAAATTTGATTTGAAACATATTCGCCAGGAGCAAATTTTAGATAAATTGTGGAGTATATTAAAAGGTAAGTGTATACAATGTTGAAAAACTCCATTGTTTGAATATTATTGATATTGCATTAAAGTTTCTTAATGGGTTTTTTGATAAATCGATTAAATGACTAAATACAGTGAAAATCGGTTATAACAACCTTCAAGGGACTGTTTGTTTACGGTTGTTATAACCGATAGACGTAATAAGCAATTACATATATATTATTTAAAATTTTTATTGAAAAAATTAGAAATTTACAATACAAGTCTTTAAGTATGCACGGTGGGTTTGAACATGACTTAAATGTGAAGTTTTAGCAACACCGATTTTCTTTCGGCATTCAATTCCTGGAGTCATAAGAAGGCCAGAAAAAAAAATCCACCGTAATCCTTAGAGCTGTTTTTGAAAAAACACCCTTTTTCAACGAAAAAAAATTCACTGTTCGAGATATCGGGATTTTTCTACCTTTCACTCACTTTTAGTTGCCAAACTTCCCCAATTTGGCAAAAATGACGTTTTCCTGAAAGTTTTACACTAGCATACAAACATTTACAAGCATATTTTTCAAATTGCCCCTTTTACTAAGACCGGAGATGGAGATACTCATTGACGATTCTCAGAAACAGGTTAAAATAAAAAGAATTCGAAAAAATTATTTTTCATTCGAGTGAGTTTTGCGGTAGTATGTCAACAAGCGAGAATCATGTTATTTATTTCCATCCTTATTTGATTTGCGAGGTCATTGAACTATCGCCAACCCCCACCCCCGATTGTTTGTTTACGTTTTGTGATACTCCAGATCGAATGACCAATATTATTCATGAAATTAGTTAAATCTTTAGATAGTCTTCGACCCTTTGACTGTAAAGTTGTAATTGTTCTCTTCGAAATTTCAATTTCTTGTGAAAGTATGGACAGAAGATCAAAGGATCATGCAGGAACCGATCAAGAAAATTGGGGGCGGATATGTTCTCCCTGCCTCCAGAAGAAGAAACAAATGGTCAAAATCAGTGGTAGTTTATTTGTGGATCTAAAAAAATGTGTGAATTATGCTGAACAGGATGAACGTTTTCCCAATGTTTTATGTAGCGCTTGCAAAATTATCCTATATTGGTCAGTGAAGTGTGGAAGTATCGGGAAAATAGCCCTGCCGGACTATACAGAGTTCAAAATTTTGGAGAAGAATACTTGGGCAAAAACTCAAATGTTGTGCAGTTGCTCATTGTGTGAATTGGTACGAGATCCAGGGCCATATTACATGTTCTTGGAAACTCGGGAAGTATTTTTCTGGGCTAGAAAAATGTTTTTCCCTACCGAAGAGAGATTTTATTTTATTTCTATCCTTCCAAATTGTTGAAATCGCAGTGTGACACGTCATATTTTTTTGCTATGCTTGCATTAGTTTCTCCATTTTCTAACCTCCATATTATATGTACGTGATTTTTCTTCTTTATTAAACATTGTTCTTTTCAACATCGTGATAGAAAGTGGTAATTAATACATATAAAATAACTGCATGTGTAGAGAAATAGTAATTTGTCCTAATGGTGTCAAAAGCATTGATGCCGGCGGGGCAGGCGAAGAACGGTATATTGGTTTTAAGGCCATATATCGTCATTTGTCGTTATCACTGATAGATTTTATAGTAAATGTATATAAAAACGCGTCGCTAAATCCGAAATGTCGTAAACGGTGTCGTAGTAAACGATTTTTTTAAATATGATATTTCTATAGGATTTAATTGGGACTTCTAAATTCAGTCATAATATTGAATAGGTCCTATGAAGCAATGTTGCTATAACCAATTTTCACTGTATTCTGTTAATGTTAGTGCCACACGGCGTGCTATGGTAGTTTATATTTCTATGATAACCGAAAGTGAATTTGCATTAATTCAAGTGTAACTTCCTTGAGTAAAAATAAGACAATTTAGAATAACCCTAGTACAATTTTATTTTTTTAATTTTTTTTTCAGGGTCACTCACTCTTAAAGTTATTTCAATTTAATTTGATATGAGGAGGTTTCTGGATTAGCCGAATATGAATATGAATTTATTCTTTAATTGAAACTTAAAGGGTGCCATGAATACTCAATCCTTTGTTTTGTGCTATATTTTTTTCTCACTGCTAAGTTTTTTATCCCAAGTCTTGGGTTGTTGTAAAAGGTACCCTTATTATTTGACGTACCTCCTGAAATTATCAGGAGAAAATTTAGGACCATCTCATATTTAACAAAATTTATTTTACTTTTAAAAACGGTACATATTTGTTACATATGGACAGTAACAGTCTGTGCGGTCACATATATTTAAATCAAAGGTACCTAGATGTGTATTGTATTGCTATAGACTTTTCCAAGGAACCTTATATTTACTGTTTCGCCTAACAACTGCAAAAAAATTCTTTTATTGTCTTACACGCTATCCTCTGTAATGTAATCTTGGATTAGCCAGCCCTGTCTAGCAAACATAGCTAGAATAACGGTCTGTGTGGCCCTAGTACAACATTTTATCCTCAATCGATATCGTCTCAAAGGGCTTTAATGCTTTTAATAGTTTTGTACTATGTTTTTTTTTAAATAAACAACTTTTGTTGTATGAATTTTTTATACAAATTGTTTATTTTTAGAATCTGAAAATTTGTCAGTTTTGAGAGATAGTTTGCATTACTTTTTTGAAGAATTGGTTGAAGCCGAAACAAATATTAAAGTAAGTTAAATATACATAATTATAATGATTCCTAATTTAAAAAGTGATTATAATAATGTAGATAATGCATGTGTGTTTCTATTCCCAAAATAAATAATTTCAATTTCTAATTAAATATCAGGAAAAGTCATAAAATGATAGGAATTGTTTAATACTACTTTTACAAGGGTTTATAGAAATTTTTTGTCTACCTGTCTATAAGTCTATGGAAGATCTTTACAAGAAAGCTTTCTGATGTAGTTTTTATAACCAATATTTTATTGCACAATTGCTTTATTATCTACTGTAAAGTTTTGACCTTGTCAATGTTCTTTGAAAATCCAAACGAATGAAAGTCTGATGGCATGAGATGTGAGAGTATCATCAGGGCGTTTGTTTAATTGTTTACATTACTCACAGCTTTCAGGGAAATTGGGGGCAGTATGCTTAATGCCGTCGGCTCTAGAGATGTTTGTCTCAAAAAAGACAACTTGTTACTTAAACCACTATAATAAATGCACAATTTGTCTGTATCTACAAATGACAAAATTTGTGGGTAACTGTCAACTTACTCTGATGTTCAAAAAGATGATCAATGTAACATTCCCAATAGACATGCTTTTTAATTTTTTTTGGTACCAAGTCTAAATATGAGGTGATGAGTGCTTCCATATCAATAATTGTTTCTTACTTTCTGGTTAGTAATGTAGCTTGAGGAATTATTACTCATATGTTATTGTACGAAGTGTACTGTGATGACCTTAGTTTTGGAAAAGGAGCACATTAATTATCATCTAAACTAAACTCTAATTTCGATATGTGTAATCTTAGAAATGTTGTAAAGACAGCAAATGAATTCAGGCACTTACCATTCTTTAGCTCACGCAGCGTGTAATGCACAGATGTGTTATGAATGCTGTTTCATTCTCACTCTATGGGTTACTTATTTTAAAGAGTTCAAGAAAATACCAGAACTGCTTAAGAAAGGTTTTTCATAACAATACTTCTAATTAAAGCGAACAAATAGAATGTGCAAATAATACAATGGATTGAGCCAAACAGTATTAATAACTACTTTACATGTGACAAAATTATTTGCAGATCAGGGAGTCGAAATTTGAAAGCAAAAATGTTACCCATTAACCATTAGTCCTGAAGTTCTAAAATGAAATAAAACCGAACTGTCTGGAAACCCTTCTGAATCCGACACTTTTTCTGGCCTATAACAATAAAGAGGGCGGTTTCCTCTTATGCTTTAAGTACATTCTTTCTATTTGCAATCGCGTCGGTTTGACTCTGCTTCCTGAACCTAGGAAACACTCTAAAACAACTTGAAAACTTAATATGAATCCTTACACAAAACCGAATTTACATATAATCCTGTGCCTAATTCATCTTCCTCTGCTATAGAGGTCCGTCGAGGATTCTTCAATCTTTTATTTCCAAATTTAGCTTCATAGAGGAAAGAACCCTCCGAATAAAACTTCTATGTACTATCGTCTATACAACGTTATGTACTTCAAAACATTGAATCCTTCAATGACCTTCCTTCATGCATTTGTTCTCTAGTTACTCTCATTGAAATCAATGATGACAGTTTCTTGAAAGCAGAGTCTGCTAACTTTCCAAAGATCAGATGTTTACCAGATGACTACCGCAGTTTTTTATTTACTTATTCAAAGCTTTCTATTTTTATGATTTACAACTACTACTTTGGTAAACCTACTACTTTTGGGTGAGAAAAAAATGCCTTCTTAATAGTTTAACTATGTGCCCTTAAGTTGATAATTTCACATAAAATTTCCTTAAATTATTTATGGCTCTGTACTAACCATTGAAAGGAATTGACAGGAACTATTCTTTGAATTCAGGCCACTCTATTATCTAAAAAATTCGCCAAGAAATATAGGGAAGTCTGCTTTTGTTACAGTAACATTGTATACTTTAGATTAAAATTAGTTGAAACCCACACATAATAATTACATAGTAAAGGGTATCTGCAAATTTAGGGATAGGTGGAATAGGCATGTTACAAGGTAGGGGGACTAGTAGAAGAAATAGGGCACACACTTTTCCTTTTACTAATGATAAAATTGACATTAAAATTTCAGTATCAGCTGATGAAAAATGCTATTTTATTTTATGTTAAGATTCCAGAAAATGACAAGTCAAATATTGCAACACTTATAAATGGAATACTTAATGGAAAATTAGCTGTTCCAACACTTACTTTCTCACAAGCGCTTGAATGCCTATTTGAACTGGGAGCTGAAAAATTAAAAAACGATTACCAAGCTATATTAAAAAATTTTTACTCATCGTCTGAGCAAGCTATATTTTTAAAATGGAGGTAAGTTATTTTAATATATTTTTTTCAATATAAAAGTAAAAATTAGTTGTTATATTATTTTGAACAAAGATGACAAATTATCTATAGTTTGTATCTTAGACAGTTACAAAGCTTTAAATATCTTGAAAAAGTTATTACAAAGTGTCAAAATACATAAGTATGATAAATTGTTTCAATATTATAAAAGAAAATAATAATGTAGGTCCAGATCTGTTTTATTGGAAATACTTATTGATAACATTGCAAAAGTGGAAACCAAAATTTACGCAAGAAGTTATTTTGATAGAAAACACAGGTGTTTAATTAAAAATGATAAATTTTTTATTGATTCATAAAGTATTCAGTGTAGGGTTATGTATGGATCGGCATATCAGGTAAATGGCCTCCTCGGCTTTGCTGGCACATACACATTATTTTGTCGAAATTTTCCATAACTGTTTTGCAAAATGGGGCTGAATTTCGTTGATACAGCGCTCAATTTCCTCATTGAAGGTGTGGGTAGTCATGAGCTCGTTCGGCATAAACCTTAGACTTCGAAAAACTGCAAAGAAAAAGGTCCAGTGGCGTTAAATCGCAGGAAATAACTCATGCAATAATTGAATTGTTTCTTGGGTTGGCACCGTCTTGTTGAAACAACTTGATGTCTACATCCATATCTTGCAATTTAGACACAAAACACTGAATTATCATATCGCGATAGCGGGCACCATTAACTGTTATTGCCTGACCAATTGCATTTTCGAAGAGGAATGGTCCGATGATGCCTCCAGCCCAAAATGCGCACCAAACAATGACACATAGGTGCATTTGTTTTTCAACAATCATTTGGGGATTTTCTGAACCCCAGATATGACAATTTCGTCGATTATCGAAACCATCAAGATGAAAATGAGTCTTATCGCTGAAGACGATTTTATTCGAAAAATCAGCATCCACTTGTTCCATAATCCATTTTAATGAACCCTCTTCACTCTGCTTGGTTAATAGGCTTCAGTTCTTGTATCAATTGAACCTAGTAATCATAAACATACAAATCTTTCATGAAAATACACTGTAGAGAGCTTCTCGAAATAACCAATTCCTGGATTCTCAGCAAACTGCTTCGATGTTTTCTGTTGAATGATTTGTTGAAGGACAGCCAGAATGTTTAAGATTACTAATTAATTCAGTGTCCCTGAATTTTTTAATTTACCAAACCTACATTATTTTTAAATTTTTTCTCAACAATGAAAACGCCTTGTTCTTTTGTGTAGTGCTCCATTTTTAATAAACCTGAACTCTCAGCTATCACACTGTTTTTTTTTGTTGGCTACATTTTACCGCACAAATGGTGAAAAAATCAAATCTTGTGTAAATTGGTTTCATCAACAAATGTGCAAGTATGCACATTTTTTTACCTACATTTATAGTTATATAATGATTTAATTAGTATGATACAGGGATTTCATAATTAACATGTCAAACATTGCATAATAGGACCCATTTATGAAGTGAAGGGTAAAAACTACCTCAACTTTTTTATGAGTTATTTTTTTTTCAAGAAAAGACTTTTATAAAAGAAATGTGCTGTTGTTGGTCTTCGATAGGATGTACCGTTTTGATTTAAAATCCATATTAAAAGTTCAATCATCCATTCAAAATGTAAGAGTAACCAAATCAGGTGTTTCATTAGCCGGCCAAACATCAGTGGCTTTTAGATTCAAGAGTGAAAAAGAAAAGTTCTAATAAATACAGATCTAAAAATTCTTTTTAAGGGAGTTATAGGCCCTACTCAGGGACAGATAATAATAAAGGGCTCACCTGATCAATTCTGATGTATTACTAAATCAAATTATAGAATGATTGTTTATCCATCTTGTGAGAATAAAATAATTAGCAGGTCTCTAAAATTTCACTTATTTATTCCCACAAGTGTTCGAGATATTGAATAGAAACCCTCCTGGAAGGTGCACTTTCAGGGAAAGTATTTTCAGACTTGTATTAGCATATTTTTCTTATTTTTGAATGTAGAATCTAGTGACACTTTACACATTAAGAATAACTATACCGTGCTTTCACGGGAAAACACTATATAGGAGGTGCGTCGGTCAAACTCGTGTGGCTTCAGCGGTGGGGATGTCGATCTCTGTGTGCGCGGCCGTGCGGCGCTGTGGCGTACGGAATCACATCTCACATCAGCCAGGTTGCAGCACCCAGCGCTCCCCACCCTTCCGAACTTACGAATTCGAACGAAGCTAATTCCCTATGTAGCGTTGTACGGTGAAAGCACGGTATAACAGATTCGAAATTTTTTCATTAATGAAGCAACATATATTTTTTTTAATTTTTAAATTATTAAATATTAGTCATATTTATATATTTTCAATTTGGTCCCCACTTGCGACATGCTTGTAAGTGAATTAATTTTGAGGGATTTCTTTGTAAATTCAAGGCTTTATTGTGAAAAATTTTGGTTCGATCCAATTATTTGTATGTTCATAAGATTGAAAGCGCTGCTTAGTCAGGCTGTGTTCCATGGATCGGAATAAGTAGTAATCTGATGGAGCAATATTTGGTGAATATCCTATTTCAGCATTTCTAAATATTTTTGTGACTTCGTGAGCAACATGTGGTCAAGCATTGATATGTTGAAAAATTACTTTATCTTGTCTTTGCTTGAAGTATTCGGCCTTGCATGCCGTCGACGTTGATACTTGACCAGGCAAACCCGACGATTTTCTTTGCTTAGGATTTGCATTATACCGTGTGCATTTAAAAGTTTTTAAACTGTTGTGCAATCAACATTCAATGATTCAGAAAGTTTATCTTACGTTTGATATACATCTTGGTGTAATAATTAGAGACCGACCGATTAATCAGCTTCGGCCACATTCGGCCATTATTTGAACCTTCGGCTAAGAATCGGCTTCTGTCAAAATTAAGCCGAACTTTTCGCCGAAGCCGAAGGTACCATTCGGGACGTCGCTGGACTTAACAAATCTAATCAAATTAGGGTTAAATTAGCCTCTTAACACTACAAATAACAGTGCCAAATTACAACAAAATTGGGTAAAGGGTGTTTAAAATATTTATGAAATAGCATTTTTTTATAAAAGATTAACACACTGTATCTTGAAAACGAAGCATCTGTGGACCAATGTTTATATGAACTTTTTGTATTAAAATCACTCAAATAATCGTCTGTTGAATTTATTGTACATTCTTAATTAACACCTTATATACAGGGTATTTCAGGAGATGTACATACTTCAGTACCTATGTTATTCTACATTCAATTTTAAGTAAAAAATTTCCTATGAACTTATGTCTGAAAATGTTTTGGATATACAGGATGTCAAATTTAAAATAATTGCATTTTCTTTTATAACTCGATTACTTTGAGTTAAGTTCATGAAATTTTGTTTGCAGAGGTTTCTTAGAACGGGAAATTCAATTTTTATGGACGATTGGCTGTATCTCCCAAAGGGCGCCGCAAGCGACCATTAGGATTCTTTTAAATCGCTTCAACTTTTTTGTACCATGGTGTATGTCATTTCGGAATAGAAAAACATTTTCCCCTATTTTTTCTATTTAAGAAATGTACACCTTGTTGAAGTCTCAAGGAGCAGCCGTTTCCGTTAAATACTCATCTAAAGATGATGATGCATGCAAATTATGTATTAGAGTGATAATTATGTATCAACTTCGTCAGTAAAAAGCATCATTGGAACTAGTTGATGTTTAGTGTTGATCTATTCACAAAATTTTTGTGAGAATTGCAAAAATAAAATCTCTAAACAAAATGTACAAAACCTGACAACAATAACTTTCGATTGACTCTAATACATAATTTGCGTGCATCATCATCTTTAGATGAGTTTTTAACGGAAACGGCTGCTCCTAGAGACTTCAATAGGGTGTACATTTCTTAAGTAAAAAAGATAGGGGGAAAATGTTTTTCTACTCCAAAATGACATACACTGTGGCACAAAAAGTTGAAGTGATTTAAACGGATCCTAATGGTCGCTTGTGGCGCCCTCTGGGAGATACAGCCAATCGTCCATAAAATTTGAATTTCCCGTTCCAAGAAACCCCTGCATACAAAATTTCATGAATTTAACTCAAAGTAGTCGAGAGTTATTAAAGAAAATGTAATTAATTTTTTTAAATTTGACATCCTGTATATCCTAAACAAAGCGTTTCCAGACCTGAGTTCATAGGAAATTTTTTACTTAAAATTGAACGTAAAATAACATACTGAAGTATGCACATCTCCTCCTGAAACACCCTTATATTATATTTCCAAAACATTATGCATCTATTTTTGACCTACTTTTATATCTTATCATACTTTTGTTATTAATTAAAATTTTTTAGTTAATAAAAATATCTTTGGCTTCGGCATCGGCATCGGCTTCGGCCGAAGGTGACCCATAAACCGAAGTTTGGCTTCGGCTTTGGCCAAAAAATCACATTCTTTCGGTCTCTAGTAATAATAACTCCAATTTCCCATCTCCGAACTTTTTCGGTTGACCATAGCATTCTTTGTCAGCTATATCGATATCACCACTTCTAAAACGTCAAAACCAATACTTACACATTTTTATCAATCACTATGTTCACCTTAAGTTTCCAACAGAACTCGATGACTTTCAGCAGCACTTTTCTCTGCATTAAACAAGAAAACTAAGATTTCCCATAAATGGTGTTTTGTTAGTTCATAATTCAACATCTTTGGAGCTGAGAAATAATGTTGTTTACACTTCCAGCAAAATGATACATAATAAAAAGTAAAGCCTAATGAGAGAGCTTTGACTTGAATATAGATAGTTACATTAGTGTCCGATGTGATATAGCATAAGTTGCGGCATCAATTATTCTAAATCCCTCAAAATTAATTCACAGTCCTAGTAATTAAAAACCCCCTCACAAAGCTGCAGACTGTGTGACGCAAAAAAAATAAATCAAACATATTACTCGTATTACTAAATAAGAAAATAAGAATAAAGCAGTTGAGGGATCATTTAGAAATTTAAGAAAAGACACCCATATATTTAATAAAATGAGTTTTATTTGTTTCAGCAAATTTAAAAGTGGAGAATTAACATCACAGAGTGGGTATCGTAAAACGAGGATTACTGTAAATTTGAAATCAGGGGTAATGGACTTGAATCAATACGTATCCAAATTGGCATACCTTGGTAAACTTCACATTGCGACAGAATTAACATTTTTAATAAAAGACCAAGCAAATTTACCTGAAGAAACATTTGATTATTTTTGTGAACGAGTTTATAAAAATTATGTAGATAAAGATACAGCACCACATAATTTTATAGATTTGCAAACCCGTCCGCTTTGTGAATTTTCGATTGTTCTTAATTCAGCTGATACCAACATTATAAAAAGGTAATTATAAACACTAGAAAATTTTAATTATATTAAAAATTAATAAATCATTCGGATTGCAATTCTAAATGTTCTAGCAAGAGTTACGTGTTCTTAAACGCATATATTTAGCAAAAAGGGCAATGAATAAATTAATTCACTTAATGTGTATGTTGTAAAAAAAACTTCTCTTATACATCTATTCATATCAAGCATATACAGTGTGGCTTATTACAAACTAAGATACCACTTTAAAATTTTTTAGGAATCATATTGTGAAACATTCTTGTAGGGATTCCTTAAAAATAAATAAATAAGAAAAAATGTTTCTCTACACTAGTATCCAGAAAGTCAAATTTTCAAAATACAGAATGTTAAAATTTTCATAAAAAAATCAGTTTTTAATTAAAATCAGAAAATTCCATTAAAACCAACCAACCAACCAGCTTTGTTTATAATAAAAAAAAACATTTTTTAGATATAATCAGTTTTTATTTATTTAATCCATTGGCATCCAGGAGGGTAACCAAGCAGAATATTATTAGCAAGAAATATAGCATATACTTTTTATTAAGTTTGATATTTGTTTTATATTAAGCGCTTAAAAATACACCTGTTTTGCATCTAGACGTTTTTCCAAATTTTGCTTATCAAACAAATAATTAAAGATGGGCACTTTTCGGAAAAGTGTGTTACGGACATGTCCTTTGGACATGTCGATGGAATGTCCGGACATGTCGGGAAAAGTACTTTTGACTTGAATCTGATAAGGCACCTATGAGTGACGTCATGTTTTCACAGGTCACTGCTTGAGGGTACACAAAGCAAAATATTACTTTTATTCTAATGAATATGTTAGACTTTTTTATAAACTGGTTTCTAATTTTCCCCGGACAGCTAATACACTTATTTAAATGTTTTTCCATCCTATTGGAATTCTTAAAAATTGTTTTTGAGCGGAAGTTACATTTATAATGATTTTTACTCAATTGAGAAAAATATAACCAAACTGTTGATTTTGGCGTCATACTTCATTTATAAACTATTAAATATTAAATTAAGAATCAATTACTATTTACTAATCGTTAACTTTGTCAAAAATAATAGAATATGGACATATAAAAGAGGTTATATTTTTAAAACGTCGGTTTCAGTTAAACAATTACCAACAAAATTACAAGAAAATGGCTAAATATCTTTAATTTTACATGTACCAACCTCAAAAATTTTTTACGTTAATTATGAATGCAACAAATATTTCCGCGCATGTTCATACAACTTTTCACTCTTGAATAGTGTCTTCAGGACATGTACACTTTTCACGACATGTCCGATGAACATGTCCAGCTGACATGTCCGCGGCACATTACAAAAAATAAAGTGAAGATTATTTGTTTTTCACATCACTGAATTTATTGACTGCACGGGCACATGAAAAAAAGTTCATATACCTTTTAACAGAGTATGATCTCTTGTATTTTGAGCTGCTGAAGACGATGGAGCCATCAGAAATGCTTCATCACGTCGGGATTTTTCCTTAACCTCAAAAAATAGCCCAAAACTAGTGGAAATCTTGTTTTTTTTGTTAAAATAATTAAGATATTAAAATTAAAGTACACAGATGTATTAATAGGGTCCAAATAAATTTTTTTTCCTGCACTTTTTTCTCGAATATGCTTCCTTGTGGAGTTACAATTTTAAACCAATTTTGAGCATTAAAATGCCTATAACTCCTCAAGAGTGCATTTTAGAGAAAACAGTGCAGGAATAGGCAGTTTTTATTTGGAACCTATTACACGTCAACAATAAACAAATAAACAAAAAAAAAAAAAAACAGAATGGGCAGCTTTTTCTACGTTGTTCCTTACTTCAACAAAATTTTTGCATTCATCATAGTACGAATTTGGGATCCGTTAAAATAGTTTGTCATCAGAAAGGTTCGGAAAATTTTTTTCTAAGTACTTGAAACAGTTTCCTTCTTTATTTAAAGCTCTTACGAATTATTTTGTAAGACCAAATTTAATGGTGGAAGAAGGATGGATCTATCAATGGGGCATTGACAATATTTTTTGTTGCAGGATCCAAGGAAGTTCTTCTTGGCCATTTTTTCTTGTAATTGGTTTTCCTATCTCTCATATCCCATTTGCATAAAAAGCAGGGATATTTGTGTACCCTTCTTGTTGCCCTAAAAGAATGGTTATAACTTTTAAATCTCCGCAAACTTGCCATTTATGAACATCATATTTTATCCTATCTAAAATCAATTTCATTTTATCATACCCTCTTTTAGCGTTACTGAATGTGCTATAGGAATAGAAGCGAATTTATTAGTATTATGGAGAAGGATTCCCTTTAGGTTTTGTTTAGAGGAATATATGAACAGTCTTCATTCTTCTGCCTTATAAATATCTGGCTTTAGTTCATTCATCAGTCCTTGAACATTTGTTTAAAATACTAATGAATGTTTTTCATCCCAAGAAAAATATTTCAAAACTCATATTCCTGTTTTCGGTACAGAGTACTCTTTGGTCCTTTAGTCAGATTTTTTTTTCTTCATATCTAATGCTAAATACTCTGATACTTAATGATTACGGCTGAAGTCTTGAAGCTCTGTCCACTGTTTTCAAAATTGTTTCTTTTTGCTGTTCGGAGTAAATTTGTAGTTATTATTAATGTCTTTTGCCTGTTTTTCAAGTTTTAATTTACAAAAAGGGCATTCAATTTTGCATTGACATTGCCATGACAATTATATGGGTCATTCCATTTGAAAAAAAAAGTTTTTCAACTCGTAAGATTATTAAATGTAGGTCTCAGTATTTCCGAGTCTGACAAACATACACAGATGAAAAGATAGGGTAATTTATACAAAAATTAACTATGAAAACTGCAGGTTTGTAACTCTTACGGTTTAGACGCTATCTAGCCTCATTTAGATAGCCTGAAATTTTGATTATTTTCAAAAATGATGATGGTCTCGAAAACGGTATGTTTTAAACATCATGTACATTTAATAAACTCTACCTAATATTAACCAAGGAAATCAAAAATGCAATAATATACAGGGTGTTCCATTTAAAATAACAATGTTATGTAGCGCCCACGCGAAGTGGAACACATTGTAAAGCTAAAAATTTTCTTTACATGGCCCACATGATTCCAGACAACTTTTATTAAAACCATTTTTTTTATTAATTTTACAGTTGCAGAGTTACAGAAGAATCTCTCTTAGGTGGAACACCCTGTATAATATAAATGTTGTTTTTTCTTTTAATTTTGTGTTTCTGTTTTTCTTTGTTTTTTTTTGTTTATTTGTTGTTTGTTGCGTGTTAATTGGGTCAAAATAAAAACTTTTTATTGTTGCTTTTTTTTCGCTTAAGGAATTTTTAATGGTCAAAATTGGTTAAAAATGGCATTAATGAGAAAAAAGTGCAGGAATAAAAAGTTTTTATTTTGACCCCATTAACACGTCTGTGTACAGGCTGGTCCATTTTCAATGGGAATTCAGGGTATTTCAGAAACTACTAAAGATATGATAAATCTGACACGACGTTCTCGAGCTCGATTTTCATGGCAAACTCGACTGTCAAATCGGAAATTTGCTATCTTCATTTGTTTCTGAGTTACAGGGCGTTTCTCGTTATTGTGACACTTTTGAACATGTCTGTATCTCAGCTGTTAAATAAGTTAGAGTTAAAGTGAAAACTGCTCAAGACTAATTCTTTGGCGTAGAATTGAATGCCGGTATTAGATTTTTAGTAGGTCTTAAGATTCCGGAGTTATGACCCAAAGTTATAATTTTTTAAATGGAAATCGTAGCTGGTTATGACCTAAAAAAATGGAGATTTTTTTTTGCTTTTCAGCAATATACCACATGCTATAGTTATTTTTCCAAACACAGAAGATACGGGGTGTTTTATATATAAATTCGATCCTTTTTTACATTTTAATATGGCTGGCTATGAAAATACATACAAAACTATAATTCTTACTTTTACAAAACTCATATCTGTTGTAAAAATATGACGTTTATTTAAAATATATATTACAGATAAGAAAAGACAGAGTTTTCAAATTTTTATTCCACTTCAACTGAAGTTACAATATTAAACGTAAATTAAACAATAGTAAGTACCTACATCAATAAAAACTTTCAAAAATGATAGCTAAATGTTCAAATTGCCGTCCCTCAACTGTCACACATTTCACGCATCTTCTGGCAACGCTTCGGGTAGCATTCATTAAATGTATAGGTATTTGAAATATTATTAAAAGGAATTTTAAATATAATGTCTTTTAGAAAACCTCAAAGGAAAAAGTCCAACGGACTCAAATCAGGTAACCTAGCTGGCCATCTGATCGGTCCGTTTGTTCCTATCCACCTATCTCCTAAAATTTCGTTAGTATTATATTATCACACGAGTATATGTTGTGCATTTAAAATAAATGTCATATTTTTACAACAGATATGACTTTTGTAAAAGTAAGAATTATAGTTTTATCTGTATTTTCATAGCCGGTCATATTAAAAAGGAAAAAAAAATATAATTTATATATGAAACACCCCGTATCTCCCGTGTTTGTAAAAATAACTATAGCATGTGATATATTGCTGAAAAGCGGAAAAAAATCTCTATTTTTTTAGGCCATGGTCAGCTACGATTTCCATTTAAAAAAATATAACTTTGGGTCATAACTCCGAAATCTTAAGATCTACTAAAAATCTAATACCGGCATTCAATTCTACGCCAAAGAATTAGTCTTGAGCAGTTTTCACTTTAACTCTAACTTATTTAACAGCTGAGATACAGACATGTTAAAAAGTGTCACAATAACGAGAAACGCCCTGTAACTCAGAAACAAATGAAGATAGCAAATTTCTGATTTGACAGTCGAGTTTGCCATGAAAATCGAGCTCGAGAACGTGGTGTCAGATTTATCATATCTTTAGTAGTTTCTGAGATACCCTGAAATCCCATCGAAAATGGACCAGCCTGTACATACTTAACTATTATAACAAAAAATCGAGATTTTCACTGACGAGTTATTTTTTGAGGTTAGAGAAAAATCCTGTCATCAACGAGCATATCTGATGGCTCCATTGTCTTCAGCATGTCACGTTTTGTGTGCCAGTGTTATTTTCAAACACGTGTGTTTAACACAGATTTTGTTCACATAAGAGAAAATCCCAGAGGTGGACGAAGTTATTCTTTCTCTCAATTTTTTCTATTTTCATTAGATATTTTAATTAATTTCAAACACTGTATCTTGAAAATGAAATGGTTCTGGATACATGTTTCCATAAGCTTTTTTGTTACATTGTGACATAATCTGCCATTAAAGCTTGGCGAATTTTTGAACTACTTATTTGAATATGGATCCTTTTTATTGTCTTCAAGATTTTTCAAATTTTTGTATTGTATTTTATGAAATACATGTTATACATCTTTACAGGCTTACAGCACACCACTATAAATAGATGGGACTATACATATTTAATATTGAAATGTACTAATGATCTTTTAAAATAAAAACATAGCATGAAGCATCACTGTTAATGCAGCCATTTTAAATGTAGAATATTTTGGGTTCCTTAAGAACGCTTATAAATGTCTTATAAAATTCAGACCAATTTCAAATGTGTTAAATAAGACAAATTTAAATAGTTATAACAGATTCATTCTGTAGCAGAATAGCTGGTGCTTGAAGAAGTAGGGGAAATCAAAAAGAACACTTTAGAACTAAAAATTTTTGTCTCATTGGGTCAGAAAATTTATATATTTCAGAATACCTTTAGAAATACAGTTCCCGAATGCTGGCACTTTTAAGGTCTATTTTTAATTTATTAAATATTTATGTCTTATATTTCAGCGAAACGCCAGCTGCGTGGGCAATGCAGATGACTTCCAAAGTTGGTAGTGTTGAAATAACAACGACTTATCATTTATCAGAATACCCAATATTTCCAACTGTGATATATGATGATTACGGTAAGGCTTTCTTCGCAGCTTTTGTTTTTGTTAAGGAGGTTTATCGAGTACGTCTAAAGTCAAATGAGAGTTTCTGTAGATTCGCTAGTGACTAAAGTAGCCAGCCTTTAGATTTGGCAATGTTGCACTTGGCTGACGCGTTCAGCTCCGCGTTCGCTCGCTCGCCTTCGGTCATTCTGTTGTTGTTTGGATGCCTAAACTTGAAATATGCATCAAATGCATTTTTCCTTCAAAGCACAGCTCAAACGCATAAATTGTGTTCGGTAGTGTTCACCAGTGATGGTTTCATTTGGTTGAAGTAGCTCATAGTACACAACATCAAGCTGCTCCCAGGAAATACAGAGCATGAACTTGGAACCATGAATATTCGGCCTTGATGTTGATGTTGATGCATAACCAGCCCAACCCCTCGATTTTCTATGCTTAGGATTGTCATAGCATATCCATTTTTCATTGCTAGTACGGATACGATGCAAAAAAACCTTTCTTTTTTGCTGTTGAAACAATTGTTCACATGTGAAAAATCGCCGTTATCTTTCGGCTTTATTTCATATGGCACCAAATTTCCTTCTTTTCTAAACATACCGAGTACATTTAAACGTTTGGAAACTGTTATGCGATCAACATTCAATGATTCAGTAAGTTCATTTTGCATTTGTCGAGTAATGCTTGCAATTCCTCATATTCTTTGTCAACTGTATCGAAATCACCACTTCTAAAATATTAATACCAATACTCACACATTTTTATGATGGAGTATATTCACCGTAATTTTCCAAGAACACTTAATGACTTTCAGCAACACTTTTCTTTGAATTAAACAGGAAAAGATTAGAAAATGTTTTAAAACTGAAACGTTATGTATATAATTTCCTTGCTTTCAAATTCAATATTTCCACTCTTGACTATTTCTATTATGTATGTCTATTTTCAGATCCTGGCAATATCACTGACGAACACAAAATGGTATATTATGTCTCCAAACTGTTAAGCCACAAGGAATTTCTATAGTATTAGTTCTTAATGTTAAATGACTCATCACTGAACTATAAAACAGGGTTTCAGAGAAAACAAATAAATCAATGAAATTACAGGGTGTTAAATAAGTACTTTGGCAAACTTTAAAGTGTGATTTTTTGGGTGATTTTATACCAACTATTATATTATATGGGCCCACAAATCAATAGGGTGTCAAGATTTAAAAAAGAAATCACCTTTTTTAAAAAAATCTTATAGAATAGAAAGTTATGAAACATAGGCTAATGATTTAGCTAATTTAAAGGTAAAGATTCACTGATTTCATATGCAAAACCTCAGAAGTTTGACACCACTGGATATTTTGAAAATTTTGTCACTTCTTTCAACTTCTTTTAATGTTTCCAAGAAAAATATATTTCACTTTATTCTAAAAACTAACCATTTTTGATTTATATATTTTTTTAAACATTTATTAACATTACCAAGCACTTCATTAAAGTTTAACATACCTGTAAGTTTAGAACTACTTGCTTCGCGAAAAAGTGCAATGATGTCTTTTTTCTAAATATACGATTTTAAACACAACATATTTATGAAGTTCAAGAAAATAATTGGTGGAATATTTTTTGCTTTTTTAAAGATGTGTCATAATTTGTCTGTTCTTAAATTTATGCCTCTAAAATTTTTTTATAATTATCTACGATTTTGTGGTATGTTCGATTAATGTTAATGAAAATTAAAAAAAGTAATAAATCAAAAATGGATAATTTTTTAAAGAAAATGAAGGATATTTTTTTTTGGGGAATACTGCAATATACATATATAGGGTGTGCCATTTAACACTCCCGCTGTCACTATCTCCGAAATGAATAATTTATTTTAGTTCCGGAAATTGGGGGTTGTTAGGTCTCTCGAATAACTTCAAATTGTAGTTAGAACTGTTAGTTCAAATCTTTCTGTATAGATGGGCGTGGCGATATTAAAAATTTTTTTTATCCCTGGAGCATGGAAATGCAGTCAATCTGAAAGATCGTTAAATTTTGAATAATTTTTGTAATATAAAGTTTTTCCCTATATTTATTTGTTGTGAAGTAACAGGAAAATCTATTATTTTATTTAAATCACACTGAGACAAAATACATATACTTTTAAAATATTATAATGACTTTATTCACATCACATACTAACTAACAACCAATAATCTAAAAAAAACGAATGTCAAGTACAGAAAAAAAAATGTACAATGGTAAACCTTATAAAGGGCAGAGGCGAACCGCATTTTATTAAATGTTATTAAAAAATGTAGTTATAGGTGGCTCATTTATTTGTTTAAAATGAAACATATGTGGCAGATGACACATATTAATTTGTTTTCCAATAATTACAGTTTTATCAGCTTGTGTTTTCAATTTAACTATATGTACTAGTTTTACCATTGTACAATTTTTTTTCTGTAGGTGATCATTTGCTTTTTTATAATTTATTGTTTGTTAGTTAGTGTGTGGTGTGAATAAAGTGATTATAACAATATTTTAAAAGAGTATTTTGTCTCGGTGTGATTTAGATAAAATAATAGATTTTCCTGTTGCATCATACATTGCATATTGAAGTCGACATGTCTCGAAAACAAGTAAATATTGGGAAAAACTTTATATTACAAAAATTACTCAAAATTTAATGATCCTTCAGATGGGCCGCATTTCCACATTCCAGGGAGCAAACATTTTTTTACTATACAGAGAGATTTGAACCAACAGTTTCAACTACAATTTGAAGCTATTCGAGGGATCTAACAACCCCACTTTCCGGAACTAAAATAAATTTCATTTTGGAGATATTGGCAGCGGGAGTGTTAAATGGCACACCCTGTATATTGGTGTCGCATTTTTGGTGTTTTCAGTGAGAACGACTCCCGGTAACTCTGCCTCTGGCGCATGTGTTTTATATCCGAATACAGTGGATTTTTATCTTTAATTAGGGGGAAGCATTATCTTGAGTTTCATCATTCTGTGTTAAAGCCTTTAGAGAGACTTTAGAAAAGGGGGATTTTTTTCTTTAATTTCTGCACCCTGTATCTTGAAAAGTATTGATTTGTGGAACCATTTTTATATAACTATCTTGGCCGAAACTTCAAAAACATGCTCTCCGTAAAGTTTACCAACATACTTAATTAACACCGTGTTCTGTTTTTTTATGTTAATTTATTTTATAAGTGTTTGTACGAATAAGAAATAAATGGTTGATATTCTTTTAATTTTTCTGTTGTGTATTCTGCAACCAAATAGCAAAGTTTATGTTTTTTCCTTCAAATTTTTAAGTAGATGAATAGAGAAAAAAAATCAGACTACTTATATTCTGTAGGTATACTTATAAAAAATTTTTGTACTGCTGACCTACTACCTAGTAAGTATTTTGTTTATTTTAAGCAAATCCATAGTTTATGCTTTGTTGAAAATAAAAAGGAATGTAGTTAAACATAAAATTGGTTATGGTGTCCTTGAAAATTTAGTATTTTATATGTTAAAGTTATTAAGAAAAGTTTTTCAGAGTGATAAGCATATATAATCCCAGACTTGTGTGAGAGAGGGGGTAGCATATTATTATTCAGTAGGCCACATGTGCGTCTAGAAATGACTTACGTTGGTAAGCCCTTACCACCATTCTGTGCAGGAATGAAGGAAACCTGGAAAACTTCATTAATTAGGGGGATGGTCAAACTCTGACTAATATCAGTCTCTCACATTGACCCAGGCCAATGTTCTTTCACCCTAGTATACCACAGAGAGGGTGCCTAATGCCTCTCTACGAATATAGTTGATCTACGGCACTTTCCATATTAGATTCCATATTAAAAATGCATTCCTGTCTCAGAATCAAGAACTGAGTGTGTGTGGAAAATGCTTATCTCTTTTGCTTGAGTTTAAATTTTTCTCAAAGTAGGCATAATACATTCAAATTTTGGTCTTACAATTTTTTATTTTAAGAAACTTTTCTTAATAACATTTTGTCATATCTCATACAGAAATATATTAATACAAGCAAAAAATTGTAGTAGGCCGAGTTTGATAGTGAAGTTATCCACACATTTCCAGCCACAGATGACAACGTGGAGAAAATCGAATGTAGGATACAAATTCAATGAAGGAGTTCGCGTATATTGACAAAATTTTGGGGTTAATCTGTCAGCAGTAGGGGAAGACGGGCTCTTCGTACGCGAGGCACATTCATACAGTAGTTATAAAACACAAACGAAAAGGTGTGCGGATGTGCCTTTACATGTGCACGTAAGTTGAGTAGTCGCCATTATGTCAATGTAGTTTCGTGCCATTCGCAAGTGAAGTGAAGGCGACATATTTTCTTGCTCTGTAAGTAATTTTTTCATCACTGCTTTTGTAAATTATTACACTAGAAATGTTTAGTTTTTCTATACTGTATTTTTTCAGTAACTAGTAAATATCCCTAAGACTTGTATTAATAACTAATTTATACAGTTTGCATATTAATATTAAATGAGGTTATATTTCATTTGGTTAGTGAGGCACTTTCAGACAGAACCAGGTGTGGCACATTCGTATGCGTATGGAGGTGCCCCAACTGACACACTAGACGAGCGCTAATCTGCTAATGGCTAATTTCGTGTCATATCGATGACAAACCTTGCCGTAAGTCAATATTACATTGGCTGTTTCCGTTACCTTGTCGCCGATGTGTTTATGTATATTTTATAATACCTACTTAATATTTGTTTTTTTTACAGAAATATGGTACGAAGTTAAACCAAAGAAGACACGTAACCAAGCAGTGGATGAGGAGTCTAAGCAGTCAATAATACAAGATTTGGTATAAGGAGTATTATCATATAGAAAAGTTGTGGATAAGTATAACTTAAAACTGTCTACACTAGAAAGCTGAGTAAAAAAATATAAGAACAGGACTGATAACGAAGCGTCTAGCAAACGTACTTTTGATTCAAAATACACAAGCGTCCAAGTTTTTTCTATCGAAGAAGAAAAACTGTTAAATGAATATATTGTCAAATGTTGTAAGATGCACTATGGACTCACGACAATTCAAGTAAGAAAGCTAGCGTATGAGTACGATCAATCTTTGAATTTGAAATATCCAACAAAATGGGAAGAAGATAAAATGACTGGGAAAGATTGGATGTATGGATTTCTTAGAAGAAACCCTTACCTCAGTTTATGAAAACCCGAAAACACAAGTGCGGAGAGATTTTTGATTTTAATAAAACCTCGGTTACTGAGTTTTACAGTAACTTGAAGACCGCTTTGAGGCGACATTCGTTGTCTGCTGACAGAATTTATAATTTTGACGAATCAGGAATGTCCACAGTTCTAGCTACTCCCAAAGTCTTGGCTCCATGAAGTGAAAAACAAGTTGGACAAATAATTGTATCAGCAGAAAGAGGCAAACTTGTTACTTTTGGTGGTATCATATCGGCCAGTGGAAATACCATTCCTTCACTCTTCATGTTTCCACGCGTGCATTATAAAGACAATTTTCTCGAATGTGCACACGAAGGCAGTCCTGGGGCTGCAAATAAAAGCGGCTGGATAAACATTGATATATTTGTCTCTGTTTTAAAATATATCCAGAAGCACACACTGCACAAAAGATAACCCTATATTATTATTGTGTGATAATCACGAAAGTCATATTACCCTGGAAGCTATCAACTACGTTAAAGAAAATGGCATAATTTACTTATCTTTTCCACCACACACATCTCATCGTTTGCAGCCCCTCAACGTTGGAGTCTTCGGACTCTTTAAATTAAAACTCAAAATTGCCTTCAATAACTTGCATATTGCGCATCCTGGCAAAACACAGCATTTACAATATTCCCAAACTTGTGAAAATTGCATTTTTTGAGTCATTCATGGCAAAAAATATCACAAGTGGGTTTAGTACACCCGGAATATGGCCCCTTAATGAATTAGCCTTTAGTGATGAAGATTTTGCTCCAACTGAGGTGTATATATCAGGTAACTTGAAACATACGCCACCTAATCCGAACATCACTGAAGATTTGGCAACACCTATACCGCAGCTAATTGTCGATGATCTCCGCTAGCCCTCATCTTCTGCAAAGGATTTCTTGGAGGTTCCGTAAGAATCTAATTTCCAAACATATAACTCACCGATGATAACTGCTATCTGTGAACTGCAAAGGTCTAACACAAATACCTTTTAAAACCAGAGGCAATTCGACCGTTTCCAACTGCTGTAGGAAATTAAAAAACTAACAAGGGAAGCCGGACAGGAAAATCACGTATTTATACGGATACGCCTGAAAAAAAAAAAACAAATTGAAGTCAGATGCAAAGAAAAACAATTGAAGAAGCTAGAACAGGAAAGAAGAGCTAGGGCCAAGCAAATGATACATATTTTAGAGGATTTAAATTTAAAAACAAAGAAAAAGAAAGTTAAAAACACAGAGAGTGATGCATCAAAATATGAAGTATTGGATACAAGCTTGCAAGAGAGTTCAACTTCCATTATAGATGAAGATGAAACTGACTGTGACAATATTGAAATGGACACAAGACAGTTGACAATTGATGTGATATCAGACAACATTAAAGACAGTTCTTTTTAGTTAAGTTCCCGAAGAAAAAGTCTAGTTTATTATGTAGGACAAGTTATGAGTCACTATAGTCAAACCGAATTTAAAGTCTCTTATCTAAACAGGAAACCAGGATTGTCATGGACATTCGTTTTCCCAAATGTTGAATACATGCATACTGTGAAAAAAAAAGT